TTGTAAGTGATGTGTCCCTACTGATTGCGCTAGTTCCCGGCCGGTGGCCGACTTGCCGGTGTGGCGAGACTCCAATTAATGCGTGTGATTTGACTGTATGTAAGTATGCATTGATAGAGAGATATCTAGGTGATTATAGAGTAAGAAATATTTATTTCTATGTACATTCAATAAATACTATATATATATCGATCTTATAAGTTCTTATCATCTCCTTTTTTAATAGTATTTTTAATGTCAATTATAACTGAAGTTGCGCATGTTAAATGGTATGAACTATGAAGTAATAACTTTCCTTAAATTTCTTTGTATTGATATATGTTTTCTCTGGTTTTGATACGGTTTTGGAAAAGTATGGGATGAGGTGGTAAAAAAATTTAAATATGAATTGGATCAATTTGGATAAGATATTTAGTACGTCTATGTATTAGTTTATTTCGGGGAAAAAAATTCACATCTTTTTAAGAAAGATAAGAAAATAATTATTTAAAAAAAAAACTGAAACAAACCTACACTAGACTTTCATCATGCCCCAATAATTGCTTTATATTGATATTCTTCTTTCATGGGCACAGCGTCTACTCGATATAACTAGTCAAAAATTTAAAGTACATTAAATTAACAAAAAAAGACAACAAAGCCTTTGCTAAAATTATTTTGAATATTATCTCAAGTTTTTAACACGTGGACATATATTTAATTTTGTTAGTTTTAAAAAATGATATATATATATATATATTATAAATTATTAAAGTGGTAAGTAGTTTATTCCTCTTAATGAAATATATGGAGTTTGAGTCTTGATAAATGATAATAGAGAGAATGACATTATACATGGATCTCACAGAATTAATTAAATGGGTAAAAAAAAGTTCCTTATATGAGTTTAATAAATCTTAACTCGGATTAGTTGAATTTTCAATGAATCGATAAAAAAAATAAAAAAATACAAACCTAGCCGTTGAATAATCTGAAATTTATGAATTTGGTAATATATTCTATTTTTTTAACCCGTTGTACAGCGAGGCGATTTTGGATAAATAATGTCTACTATACACACTTATCATGATTGATTGGTGTTCCACATAATTTCATATAAAGTTCATCATACTACTCTCATAAAAAAACAAATGGCGCCTGTTATTGAACAAAACACTTAATTAGTCGTAATAATTCCCCCAAATTCTAATATTCATACCCAAAAACATAAAAACCAAATAAAAGAAGAATGTCGGCGTAAATGCGAGAGGTTGTGCCAAACAAAGCTTTTGTTTTCTTGAATGAAATGGCATTTAGATTTTGGGTGACATGATGATTCTTATCCTAACTATTTGTTTAGTAATTTAGTTCACATAAATCTTAGGAGAGTCAATGCTGCAAATAATAGCTAGGAATGTTGGGACCTTAATTAGGATGGTTTGGAATCTCTTTCGTTTTGGTGTTCTGAAATCAAAAGTTTTGAAGCTTGAGGTTTATTAGAGTAAAGGTCAATTTAAATATTGCAAGTTCAAAGTCGTCCCACAGAAAAAGGAAAGAGGTTCCACATGGTCTCTCTTACCCAGGGACATGTCACATGCCATTTGTCACATTATGCAATATGCCAATAAATGAAGTAAACGGCCCCGATGTGTCTCTAACTTTCAAAATCTCTAATCCGACAGTCCTCCCTCTCTCAGATTCACATCTCTTCGCGTGCTTAAGTAACCATCATTCCCCAATATCACAGGCTTGCCTCTTTATGATCTGCTCCCTTTTCTTGTCATATTGGATATGCTGTGGATCTATCAGCTGACTGTTATGCATAGTTATCAAAATCCTACTGGTCGCCATTCATTTGGCTATGCGTTTTGCCAGCACAAATCCTCCTCGAATTTATTTGAATCTTTTTTAAAAAAAAAAAAATCGAAAAGAAACCATTCAATTCAATGTTAGAATTTTTTTTATTTTACGGAATTTATAAATTAAAAATATTTTAAAATTTTAAAATAATTCGGATTAATAAAGTATTTAATTAAATTCATTGCGATCATGCTTTGTTTTTGACCTAAATGACATTTGATTAGATTAGATTTAGTTGGACAACAATATAAGTTTTAATGTAATAGACATAGATTCTTATGATCAGTGTTAATAAAATCGGACTGACCCGGCCGGGTCTATCCGAGAACCGGTCATATAATCTGTCCGATTGAAGTAACGGATCGGCCATGCATCAGAACCGGCCGATTTTCATGAAAATCGATGATCCAGTCGGTTAATTGGAGACCCGGTCCAAAAAAAATTCCAATTTTTTTTCAAAAAAATAAAATCATAATGGACATATTTGAATATTCTTTTGCTTATTGACTTACATAAGTTATGTACCTAGAACACTAATATTATCTCAATTATGCACTATGTAGAAAATTTTGATTTGATTTATAGTTAGAGATGACATTTTCTGTGTATCACGATCATTATATTTTTGTTTGTTCCTTTATTGGATAATAATATGTGATTTATTAATTTTTTATATTAAAATATTTAAAAGTTTTATCATTTTTTTAGATATTTGAGTATGTGTATAATTTTTTAATATAAATTATAAAATTGCATATAATTACCGGGTTATACGATTGAACCAGTGACCCACTAGTTGAACCACTTACCCAGTACCTTGACCGGGTCAATAATAGAGCTGGTTTTAATAACATTGCTTCTGATTAGTGGCTGACCCATAATTTTTTATGATAGAGAAAAATAAAAAATATTATTATAAATAAAAGTACTTATAATTTAATATAACAGACATTAAAAAAAAAAACTTTATTAGTTTTAATTTTTTTAATTTTTTTGAAGGGTTTGATTAAAATTCATTCAATTTCAAATGACTCTATATATCCAAAATTAATAGAACATTTTCCCATAAATACTTTTATTCTATTTGTACTAAATTACATCACTTGTTTTGAGTTTTTTTTGGCTTTGATGTTATGTTAAATTCATTTTTCAACCTTCAATTAATTAGAAATAATGGAACACAAATACAGAGTTGCAGCCTTGCTCTCCCAAAGAGATTTTTTTTTTGGATAAAACCTTATTTAAACAGAATCAAGTATGTATGTAATTAATTGAAGGTTGAAAAATGAATTTAACATAGAATCAAAGCTAAAAAAACTCAAAACAATGAAAGCAAAAAATCCTTTTTGAGAGAGCTAGCCCTCCATGATGTGGATTATTCCGGCTCAAACAGGATTGTCTCCCATGCCCATGGAGAATACACGTGGTTTATAAAAATAAAATAAAATTGCAGCCTTGCAAGCATAAGAAGAAACAAATGAGATAAAAAAAAATTAAATGAAATTTTGTAAAGTTTCTAGAAAATCTTGTAAAAATATAGAGTGAATAACATTATGGGTTAAGATATTTGGGGGAGAATGAGGTTAACATTATCTTTTTCTCTTATATCTTTTTTGTATAAATCATTCAATGTCTGATCATTAATGAGCGCCGACTAATTTGGATTTTGAGCTGGCTGGACCACAAATGTTGAAAAACTCTTACTATCGAGTTTTTAACACAACTGCATACTTAGACCTTGAACTTAGAATCATTGGTTAAGGTGGAACAATCCTGTGCCAATTTATTCATGTGGTTGATGGTTTTCCTTTGAGAGTTGAGGCAGTTGTGGTTGGATGCGAGATAGGATTTTCTTTAGATTTTTTTTTTAATTTGAGAGAGGGACTAATTATTAAGACTAATAGTCTACTAATATATATGATAATAAAAAAAAATCAAAATTTAGGGAGGAGTGATGGCTAACCCTAACCCTTCCCTTGGTCCGCCCTTGCTTCTAACGAGGATTTTTGGTTAGATCACATCTCGATCTAGTCTATTCAACATAGGGGTTGCTCTGTGTGTTGTTATGTTTATGCTCACATTGCAAAAGTTGCAAAGAACAATAAGCAATAAAGAAGAAAATCCTAGCATTAAGTTCGCCCTCTTCCTTCATTTCTAAGATGACCCGACAATGTACGCACATTTGATCTTATTATAACTTTGCTATTTTACAGTCATGTACATATTTACAAATTTTAATTTTTAGGATTTAATGTCTTTCATGTTGTAGTAAATAAAATTATCTCCTACATATATATAAAAATATGTTAGACCCATATTTTCTCTCTCTTCTCTTCATATGGCCCCACATATTTTTAGGTGAGTGTAGGAGATAATTTTATCTTCTACAATATGAGATATCAAACCCTAATTTTTATCATCTAAAAGTTTAAATTATTTAGTTGAATTGGCATTTTACATGATATTGAAGTTTATGTGATCAAATGGTCATGAGTTTGATCCTCACCATCTTATAAACTTTTGTACTATTTATAAATGATAAAATATTGTATATAAAAATAATAATAATAAAATATTATGAAATTTATAAACACATGTGAATGAGTTTGTACATTATTCATCCTTCAAGCTTACTAAACTTTTGTATAAGGGTATTTTAGAAGAACTATATTTACCACCATTTTAAACTTATCACTCTTACTATTTAATTGGTTGTCATTGGATCAATTTGAAATAAACGACATTTAATGTTTTTCATTTTTTAATCGTTGTATCATTAGGCATACCAGCAACGACTAATCGCTGAAATTTTCGGTTTAAAATGGTTGTTTATAATAAATGGTATTGCATTTTATATGCATAGACAAATAAAACAAAACTTGTTGAAATCGGAAATCATATATATAACTGCAAAAACAAGAGCCGGACAATGAAAGCTAGACAGCACCAGCCGTCTCCTTCATTGTTTTCATCCCTATACTAAATTCAATGTTTAGACCGATTTAATCATTTCTCATCAAAACAGACAATCACAAAACATGCACGTACAGCTATTCCTATAAATATAATGAAATCTAGCTAATTTCTAGATCGTCCCTGTATCATCATACGCATTACATAGTCTTGAAAACTCTATATTTTACCCATTTGTGAAAGACATAATGGCATGTTTCATGAGGTGTTCCAAAGGGATAAAAATCTGCTGTGGTGTCACTGCCATTCTTATAACTCTATTGATAGTGATACTGGTGGTCTTATTTCTCACCGTGCTCAAGCCTAAAGACCCCACAATTAACCTGCAGTCAGTTCAGCTTGATGGGTTCCGAATTTCCCTCGCACCTTTGGAACTAAATGTATCATTAGGCATAGTGGTCAGGGTTGATAATCCTAATCCGGGAAGCTTTAGCTACCAGAACAGCACAGCTTATGTTAATTATCGTGGGAACCTTTTGGCTGAAGCTCCATTATATGAGGACACAATTCCCTCTCGCGGAGCGCATAATATAAGCACATCTTTGAATATTTTTGCAGATAATTACACAAAAATTCAGGACTTACCGAGTGATTTTTTAAAGGGTGTCATAAATTTTACCTCAACAACTACCTTAACAGGGAAAGTCAAGGTGTTGAACCTCTTCAGGTTCAAGGCCACTAGTTACTCCACCTGTGATATCTCTCTATTCATACTTGAGGAGATCGTGAATTCTACTTGCATCATACAAATCAAATTATGACAGTTTTTCCCCCCTCTTATTGCTATTATTCATTTATTTAAGTACCTAGCATTGATATCGCACTTGAAATTTCTTCTCACTTGTAATCTGGTTGATGTTATTTAACTAACGATGAAAAATTCACATCGGATTAGTCGGTTGAAAAAAAAAATTAATAAATTAGTCTGTTCTGTTCGTTTAATTTGGAAAACTCGTTATGCAAAGAATGAATCGTGAAATATCAACACACTAATGAAGAAGGTTGTGCAAATTGATTGACAAACTTCTCCCGGGGAATGAAGAGATGACGTGATTAGAGTATTCGGGCAAATTCCTCCAGAATTAATGACCGTTTGATTAGTGTTTTGTAAAACAATTTTTATTTTTAAAAATAAAAAAGCTTGTTTAATATGAAGAGCTTTGTAAAATTGATTTTGAAAACAATTTCTTTTAACTTATTTTTAGAACTGAAATTGTGCAGATTTGATTTTGTTCTCATTTCTAATTTTTTGTTCCAAAAACTTGCAAAACACGAAGAACAGACTACTTTATTAATGGCACTTTTGTAATTATAATGTTGAAAGGCATCGTTGCATCTTTGAACAATTTTCGAAACCCTTTCATCTTTCTCACTAGCAAGCAAATAAAATCTTTGGTACCAGTGATCTATTTAGATTCAGTGTATCCCATCAACGAGAACATTACACATCAGAAGAAAAAATTTAACAGAAAAAAAAAAGAATTTTAATTGACATATGATATTTTTATTGATGTAATGCACTGAATTTTTGATATTGGTACAGCGGTAGCAGTATTACCAAATATTTATTCCTAACAAGCAGCACTCCATCGTTGAGCGGTGCAAAAAGTTTTTTTTTTTTTTTTTTTGGGAATATCAATAAAATTTTCACTCTGTTGCATTAGCTTCATAGTCGTATACATGAGAGTCTACTTATAGTCCGATTGTGCAGCGCTGGAAATCTTGAATGACTCAGGAGCGGGAATGTGGAGTGGCGGAAGAATCGGTGTGCGTGTTTGGTCATTGGTGGCAGAGTAGATAAGCGGCAAGAAATGAGGCTAGGTGTTCAGACAGCTCTTTTCTACGGGTACGTACTACTGGTACGGGCATCCATTGAATCACAAAATTGAAACTATATGAACCCTAATCCATTTGCTCAGAAATTACAGTAATTTTGATTGTTGATTGGGGCACAAAATTGAGATGTCCGTGTTTGTGATTTTAGTTACGCATGAGTTGGAATTTCAAGTGTCTTACCTTTGAAGTAGCAAGTAGCAAGTAAGGCTCCCTAAGCATTTCAACTGTTTGTTAAAAGGACTCAACCATATAGCATTGCATTGATTCTTTCTTTTGTTAGCATGTGTTTTTCATGGAACCTGCCCACCATTACTTGCCATCGCATCCGGTCATGATTGGTAGAATGTGCTTCACATAATCATGATATATAATTATGGTATGCAACTTGTGTTTAACACATATCAGTTTAGAAGACCCACAAATTTATTCACAAAACTTAGGAATTTTTTTTGCATTATTTGTCTTGATTTTAGTTATCCAAAATTAATTAATTCAATTATTAATCTAGATTTTTTAGAAAAAACCATAATAATAATTAATTAGTTTTCGAGGATAATCTAAAAAAAATAAAATCTCATAATAACTATCATACTAGTCGCTGAAGACATAATATTATGCTCATGTGAATAACAAGTTATGCAATAATATGACACCACTATTCTATATGACATATTATCATATCAAGTATGTTATCAATCATATAATTCATCCATTTATAAAAATAAAGCAATTATAAACTAGACTTTAATCGATAGTTCCCTAGAGAAAAATAAAATAAAATTACAAGTCAATATTTGATGGCCAAAATATTATCTGACTTGCACTATTATTTTCCTCCTTGTTTCTGGGTCCATAAAATTCTGGTTCAAGCCTTTTTAGCAACCATGGGCTTAAAGGCCCAAAATACAAAAAATTGACAAGAAAACCTAATATATTTCTTGGAAACCCTAGCCGTTACGATCGTTGCGCCTTCGTATGATGTTCGATGGACACGAACTTTTACAGGTAGGACCACCTTGATGAGACGAAGCCACGTCTACTAGGATCGCCCCAAACAGAGCTGGCATGCGCTCTCACTTGCTATATCTTTCCCAGAGAGTGAAGCCCACTTGCAGAGACTTCCAGTTAAGAGTGAGGGAGCGTCCGACCACCGTTTTGTGCGATTCAATTGCCGTTTGACTCATTTTTTCATTTTGAATCTTTCAACAGTCTCAAATTTTCAACTGGAGATCGCATTCATCATGAACAAGTACAAAATAGCCGTAAATGTATTCTTTTTGCATCTTCTTGGTTTTCTTTCATTACAATTTTGTAATACAACGAAAATAAATAAATAAAATCAAGGAGGAAACCTAATCATAAGGGATTAGCCTCCTTGTTACAACCCAAGAAAATACAACCAAATCCCTACCATGGATTAAAGCCAAAAACAAAATAAAAGCATCGATTTTTATAAGAAGAATTATAAATGATACAATTGCCAATATATAATAACAAATATAGAAACCCTAGGTGCAATATTTCACGAAGCTAACTAATTACATGAATAACAGTAAATAAAAAAAAAACTAGATACACATTCAAACACGCAATCTGGCTCTGATATCAATTGAAGAAATTATTGGATCTGCTGAAGTATTTAGACTATTGCGGTATGGATGCGACAGATCATCATCATTTTTTTTTTTTTGGTACATTGCCAGGAGGTATCCCCATTCAACCTTCTCTGGGCACCATGCCCTCGGGGTACGGCCCGTTTAGGTTAGCCCCTCATTACAACAGTGGGTGCACTAAGCTTCGCAACCGGAGAAAGGACGAGACTAATCCCCCAATCGAAGATTTTTGGCTTATCCTCTGGCCCCCAAAGATTTTCCAAGAAACTGCTTGAGGCAGGGTTTGATCCCTGCACCAAGCAATCCCTTGGGAGCTCAGCTGCCAACTGAGCTACCCTTGGGGGTTAGATCATCATCATTTTATGTTTACCTCTTGTTGCGAAGATCTATGTTGTATGCCCTCGTGTTTGATTCCTCTTCACGAACTGCTCTCCTCTGCACGTACAAACTCCTTGAGTCTAGCTAGTGGTAGATCTTCCAAACTATATCTCAAGGGAGAATAAGGCTGTTGTGTGAGCACTCTCTCACTATCAAGGAGATGACCTTACCTCAGCCTCTCTAATCACCAAGTGTAGACCTCTGAGGCTAATGACTTAATTGTATAAAATATATGAGTTCTAAGAAACTCTAGCCCCAAACTGAATGAGCTTAGCTTTCTTGAGCTCTTCTTACACACTAGGTCGTATTGGGCTTTGGTGAAAGAGCAAAACCCAACAAGGGGTACCAGAGACTTTTTCTTAACTGTCGATCCACGCCGTCGCCATCGAGGGATTATCTCGCATTCTCGCTGGAACAGAACGGGGAGGCGTTGACGGAGGTTTTGGTGACTCTGATGGCCCGATCTTGCTGCCTCAGGCGGATATAGTATGGGAGTAAGGCTTGGCTCTGAGGGAATGTTGAAGACAGAACAAGATTCGATTGGAGGAAAGCTAAACAAAGGGATTTTAGAAATCTGAGAGAAATATTGCTAAGAACGTGGCCTTGTGTCATGTAGAGTCTATCATGCTGATAACATATTATAAAATAAAGAGAACAAGAACATAGAAGGAATAGAGAGAAAATCAGGACAAGGAGAAAGACCGATAACTTTCATTGTGTATCTTTGTCTCTTGTACATGTCTTTATAAGCTCTCAATACATTGTAAGGTACAACACAAAATAATTAATAATTCTGAAGAGTTACAATTTAAAATAATGCCTATAGGGTTATGGACATTCACATAAATATATTATTCATAACAATAACATTCCTTGGGAGGGCAACTGGATAATTGGTTTTTCTAAAAACCTTGGGCAAGGTACAACTCTCTTAGCAGAACTTTGGGGTTACTTTACAGGTCTTGAGTGGGCCTGGAAGCATGACATTAGGCAAGTAATTTTAGAAGGAGACTCAACTATGGCGAATCAACTAATTACTGAAGAAAGGGATCCTCCCATTGATATCCCCTTCTATCACTTAATTAGGGAGATTAGAGCTCTGATTAGAAGACCTTGGAGAGTGGAAGTGTCTCATGTCCACAAAGAGGGCAACAAAGGGGCAGACTGAATGGCATCTCACGGAAAATCCACTGGATGGGAAACTTGTTGGGTTGATACTCCCCCTTTTGATTGCAAAGAGGTTCTCCTAAAGCACCTGCAGGGCTTATCTGAGTCCAGGATAGTTTATCTGTAATTGTTTTGCTGTTTTTCCTTTCTTCTGTAATCCGAAAAAATAAAAATAAATAACATTCCTTTTTTACATTTATTACAATGCTAATTAACGTGGTAAAAGAAAGTGGAAAGATTTATTTCCTTCGAATATGGACTCCACATATTTTTTTATGCGTTGGAGATAATTTTATCTCATACATCAAACCCTAAAACAAGCTGGCAATTAGTTTTCATCCTCGTGAGAACGTTGAAGGGCGTAGCCAGATGTTTTGACTACCGATCTAAAGGGTCCAGAAATTGGTTACCGAAAACTTACCTTTGAGGTATTGTGCCAAAAAAAAAGCAAAATTTCATTGTTAATCATTTCCATTGGGCCAACAACTGTAGTTTTCATTTGAGCCCAATGGAAACCATGAGCTGAACTAGCTAGCTAATGTAATGAAAATATGAATTCATTGCTGTAATGCATTTCCATGTATTGCCACTTTCGTCCAAATTGATAGCTCGCTACTTCCGTTCACGGCTTCTAAGTTGTATGCAACTGTTTAGGACCTAAGGACCTATTTGGTGTGATGTATAAGGCCTGATAGTATAAGCTTATACTATACGTTATGACATTTTCAGTTGTTTGGTGTGACCATCGTATAGTATAAGCTTATACAGCAGGACCCCTTTATACATCAAAATGATGTATAACATAATCCGGCCTAGTAGTGGTGGATTAGGCCTGATAAAGGACTAATGTATTAATATGGTTTACAAGTACAATTCCTAATAACTAATATATCATTTCAATATTTATATATTAAAAATAATTTTTTCTAATATATTAATTTTTAAAATATTGGAAGATATTATCTTATACAATATCATACCAAACGCTGGATAGTATTAAAATTTAATCAGGTCCTATACAATCAGGTCTTATACTATCATGCCTTATCCTATACTATGCACCAAACATGCCTTAAGGATCATGTGGACATGTTGTTTTAATAAAAGTTAAAAGAACCAAATATTCTATTTCTTCCCCTACGTAGAGAATTCACAGGAAGAGACAAATTAAATTTCAATCATAAACATATTCAATGCTGTTTGATAAGCATTGGTATTTATAATGGAGTGTTATTCTAAATAATTTTTACACTATCAATTAGGGATTTAATGTTTTGTAAATGTCAATTTTCAAAATATTATCATCATTTTATGTATTGTCTTATCATTGAAAAATATTATTGCCATAATCATATGAAAATATATTTTTTTATGGGGAAGCATGAACTTACACTATTGCATGTTTAAAAAATCTTACACCTATTATTAATCGTTGATTTTATTAACATCCAATAATTATAATTGGTATTTTATTACTATTTTTAATTTTTTAAACTTAAATAACGTGGGTTCATCCTTCCATTTTTTTAATGTGCTTTGTATAATTGAATGATAATTAAATTTTTTAACACTAATATATCAAAATTAAAAGTGCAAAAATTATTTATTTAAGTTAATATATTATTAAAAATGTAATTATAGTCATTTAATGCATTGATTTTTTTTGAGACAGTGGATAAATTTTATAATAATAATATAGTAACATTATTAATTAATATGTATGATACTTAAATATTCGGATCATTAAAAGTCTAAAACAATTGTTGCAATTGAAAGAAATTTAAAATTTCTCATGGGCATGTACCGAAAAAGAGGTATTTTCACTTAACAAGTTCATAATAGAAATTTTACAATGTTATGCGAATAATATTTTCAGTATAAAAAAACTTCTCATTTTTAATGGGCCCCCACCATATGTGGCCCAATCAATTTTGTCCAACAATACTCTCTATCTTCTCTGTATTCACCCTTTGACTTCTGTAGGTGCTTTAGTTGAAGGCAATTGACACGTTAGTCCCTATAATCCAATAACGAACTGGTCAATCATTAGATTTTCATTTTTCAACCCGAATCAGATTTCCCTATAATATGAAATAATCCTTTCAATGCTTTTAGGAATAAAATACTACTCAAGTTTTAGAAATAAAAGATTTAATCTAATTCTAAACTAATTTAATCATAACCGACTACGAAGGATCTCCCACCCAACTTTACCAGCGGACCCACTCTTTCAACCCACTAACCTAGCACGCGAATTATAGCAACAACCTTCTTTAACCTCATTACCGGCGGGAGCGCACGTTAGCCCATTAACCCAAACTAAAACTGCCAAAGCCCAAAAGCGAGTGCGAACTGTTCACGCCTTCCATATAAAGAAGAAGAATCCGTGTAATTCCCGAAATACCCCTCCGATCTGGCACCCTATTCAAATCCCAAATTCTATTTCGGATTACCCTCTTGTCTCTCTCCCCTCATTCCTATACAGTGTGTTGTGTCTCTCAGAACGCGAGAGAGAGAGAGAGAGAGAGAGAGAGAGAGAGAGGGACCTTGTTCTTCTTCTTGTTCTTCTTCTATTGTTGATGGAGCTTCAGAGGCGGCCAGATCAGTGCCTCCCGGAGAGGAAAGGCCAGAAGAGGAAGCTCGAGGAGGAATTCGAAGAGGACCGACAGATCTCCGCGCCTCCCACCGGCGACGCCCGTGACGCTCTCCTCTCCGATGTCAAGGAACAGGTCACCATCCTCGAGTCCACTTTCTCGTGGAGGGAATCCGATCGAGCAGCCGCGAAGCGCGCTACTCACGCCCTCGCTGATCTTGCCAAAAATGGTAAATCTATTATTCCTCCCTCGATCTCCTCGCCTGTTGCTTCCTTTGTTGTCATTTTTTTTTTGCGGAATTCGATTGCGGTGTTCTTCTTTGTTTTTGTCTGAATCCTTCGGTGGTTGTGTTTGCAGAGGAAGTGGTGAACGTGATTGTTGAAGGAGGCGCCATTCCGGCTTTGGTTAAGCATCTTCAAGCACCTCCTTTGGCTGAAAACGACCGTGTTCAGAATCCAATGCCGTTTGAGCACGAGGTCGAGAAAGGGAGTGCTTTCGCACTTGGACTTCTTGCCGTCAAGGTAACATCACTTTTCTTTTTTCTAGTAACTACTATTTAGGAATTATTACAACTGAAATTATTTATGCCTTGGATTCTCCAAGTTCTGAAGTTTATATACGCATGTTTGATATGATTTTGCTAATTTAGATTAAGGTTATAGTTCGATTCCAGTCATTTTTATTGTAATATATAGGTGAAAGTTGACACGTCAAGTTCGCTTACATATTTTTATTTTGAAGTGTTGTTCGTTCATTTTTTTTTGGAAAATGTATTATCATATTATTTTGGCTAAATGATGTGAGCTAGTTTAGAATGGTAGAGGGGAGCTTTGAAGATGATGGCTGAGGGTCTAATATGTCATATAATTCCTAACCTAAACTAGCTAATTTGTTTGGAAATGCCTTCCTACAGCCAGAACATCAACAGCTAATTGTTGATAGTGGTGCCTTAAGACATCTTGTTGATCTTTTGAAGAGGCATAATAATGGCTTAACATCTCGTGCCATTAATAGTCTCATTCGGAGGGCGGCCGATGCAATCACTAATCTTGCTCACGAGAACAGCAGTATTAAAACTCGTGTCAGGTTTGCTTCTTCAAAGAAAATCGTACAATTGAAATTCTAATTTGGTATGATTCTGTTCTTATGATTATCTGGTGTTGATGTGTAGGATGGAAGGTGGAATTCCACCACTTGTTCATTTGCTTGAATTCGCCGATACAAAGGTGCAAAGAGCAGCTGCTGGTGCATTGCGAACCCTGGCTTTTAAAAATGATGAAAATAAAAATCAGGTAAGTGTTCTTTGCTGAAAGTGAGCAATTTATTGACTTCAATATGATATGAGTAAGTCACATAACCTCTGGACTTGTCAGATTGTTGATTGCAATGCTCTTCCAACTCTGATTCTAATGCTTCATTCAGAAGATGCTGCTATTCATTATGAAGCGGTATTGCTAGTGCAACCTTTATTATTAATGCTAAATTTTGCAATAATGTTGAGTTTGGTCTTTACGCTTCTCTTACTGGGAAAATGCCATGAATTTTATTGTATTACAGGTTGGTGTGATTGGAAATCTGGTCCACTCTTCCCCTAATATAAAAAAAGAAGTTCTTCTTGCTGGAGCTTTACAACCTGTTATTGGATTACTTAGGTATATTCTCAGTTTGGACCCTGGAAAACTGCAATACTCCCTTCCTCCTCTCCCCTACCTCTATCCTCAATTTGTATCGGTATTATAATATCCCAAAATTCCTCTATTTTCATAGCAATAATCTTCAATAAAATAAATTGCTGAAAAGGATATATTTTTGTTAATCTATTCTAAAATTGTTTTATGTTACAGCTCCTGTTGCTCTGAAAGCCAGAGGGAAGCAGCCTTGTTACTTGGACAGTTTGCAGCAACTGATTCAGACTGCAAGGTAAGCATAAACTTTAGTTTTCTAACTATCTTTGTGACTTGTACTGAGGGGTGAGGGAGGGGAAGGTTGAAAGGGAAGAAACCCTAACATCTATTTTTTATGCTTGTTGACTGGATGGTGAAGAGGGGTAGAAATGAAAACAATAGACAACTGAATTTTAGTTTGGAGCATGTGTTTTATAATTCCAACTTCAAAAGTTGGATTCTTTGTGTTACTTATTTCTGGACAGGGTAGATGTTTACTCTGGGCGTTGATGCTTCCCATATTATATCTCCGCATTTTTAATTCTTGCCTTCTGTTTCATTTGGTTTTTGTAGGTTCACATTGTGCAGAGAGGTGCCGTCCGACCTCTGATAGAGATGCTTCAGTCCCCTGATATTCAGCTCAGAGAAATGTCTGCCTTTGCATTGGGGAGATTGGCCCAGGTTATTCATTTTCCTTTGTCTTTTCGGATTTATAGTTCAATTATATTAGTTTAGAGATTAAAGTCATCATTATATTCATGAAATTGATTTAGTGTTATTTTTCTTTATAAAATAGTTTTTGAATCTGTAACATATATATTCTACATATTTCCATCTTTGTGGCAAGCATTATATTTAGTGGGCTTAGCTCTTAGCAAAGAAGTCGTGGTACTAATCTATTATTTCCATTTGTATGTTAAATTGTAGGTTCCTTTTAACACCATAACCATTTCCTCTGGCCTGAAAATATTTAATTTTAAATTTCAGGACACACATAACCAAGCTGGTATCGCACACAATGGTGGCTTGATGCCATTACTGAAGCTTCTTGACTCAAAAAATGGGTCTCTGCAACATAATGCTGCTTTTGCTCTTTATGGCCTTGCAGATAATGAGGTACAATAAACTGCTAGAATTTTAATAATTAAGATCTCCTGTCTTAATTGCATAGAAAACTTGTTACTTCAAACAAAAGTTAATTAACTGCTCTTTTTTTTTTTTTTTTTTTTTTTTTTTTTTTTTTTTTTTTTTTTTTTGGGGGGGGGGGGGGGGGGGGGGGTTATTTTACTTTTTGTCCCATAGGATAATGTGTCAGATTTTATTAGGGTAGGTGGAATTCAGAGACTGCAGGATGGAGAGTTTATTGTTCAAGTAAGTTTGCCTCTTTAATACTTCAGCTGCTCTGGCTTCAGGGTTTCCACATTTTCTGTTGCCGATGTCAATGGCAATTCAATGTTTCAGTTGATTGCATGTGAATTTTATCTTTAAGAACTGGGAAAATTAGACCCTTCTTGAACACATGCTGATCTATATGGAATTGGTTTTTATTGCAGGCAACTAAGGATTGTGTTTCAAAGACATTGAAAAGATTAGAAGAGAAGATTCATGGCCGTGTAAGCACAATGTCTCACTGACATGTTACTTTATGCTTTTTACTGAATTTAACATGAAAAGGGCAGGGGTACTACTACTACTGTATCAATTATAAGTTCCATAAGTTCTATGCAACAACAACAACCAAGCATTATCTCTATGGTTCTATGAGTTCTATATTGCAATCTAATTTGTAATCTATTAATTTTCTCCTTGTAGGTGCTCAACCATTTATTATATCTTATGCGGGTTTCAGAAAAGGCTTTCCAAAGACGAGTTGCGTTGGCTCTTACTCATCTATGTTCTGCAGATGATCAGAGAAAAATATTTATTGATCATCATGGTATGCATCTTCTTAGTCAAATCTTTTGTTTAAGTTTGATTTATGTTGTTGCTTGCTTATGAAATATTTTTTGCGGGTGCTTTATTGCTTTTTCTATTCTATTTGAAGCTGAGCATCTGTCCATGCAGGTTTAGAGTTGCTTATTGGGCTTCTTGGTTCTTCCAGCCCTAAGCAGCAACTTGATGGAGCTGTGGCTTTATGCAAGTTGGCCAACAAAGCTATGACTCTATCTCCTGTAGATGCTGCTCCCCCTTCTCCAACACCCCAGGTTGGTTTATATACAGCTTGGCTTCTCCTCAGTCTCCATAAGAGTTTTTTTTATTTTTTTTTTATTTTTTGCCCCCAATATTTTCACTTGATCTCAATTGTTTACTTGTACATTGTTGATCTTGTTCAAAAAATTTTTTGCTGTCCTTTTCTTGATGATGTAGCAACATTTTGTTTGCTTTGCCTTTTGATTTTGTCCTTTTTATACTGATAAGTTCTTTGTACATATACATTCATGTTTAAAAACTTTCAATTCAGTTTGCGTATATTTTGTGCTTGGCATGTTGTGATATTGCTTGGTGTTTAAAGTTGATTTGAATATCTCAGAGGTGGTGTCTAGTTATAATACATGGTCCATTTATTAATTAGCATCTTCTGGCCCAATAACCAGTAGTTAGAAGATCTATTTCTTTCCATATCATATGCCTGCCACTTGCATAAGAATCCTGATGCAAGCCCCCTTGTCACTTTCCGTCTAGTCTAAATAATTCTGGATGAATTGTTTTCAGAAGTTGGAATATCTATGATCCCAGAATTTTCTTCTTGCAGGTTTATTTAGGAGAGCAGTATGTAAACAATGCTACCTTGTCTGACGTTACATTTTTGGTTGAAGGTTGATGCTTTTCATCCTCATTGTTTCTTTCTTAAGACTGTTGCTTGAAAAATAACTTTCCTGAAATGTGGTGTTGTAGCTTCAGTTGACATTAGTAGATAACCACGTATCTTCATACTTTGCTGCAGGTAAAAGGTTTTATGCTCACAGAATCTGTCTACTTGCATCTTCAGATGCATTTCGTGCAATGTTTGATGGTGGTTATAGGGTGAGTATATATTGACCACGAACACTGGATCATATATCTCCTCTTACACACCCCCTTGCTACTGTTAATTGATTATCAGCCGAAAAAAAGAAAATTCATTATTGACCCCACTTGATTTCATGAGAAACATTATTTGTTACCTGTTATTCTGGTTTTAATGCTTTGTCTACCTAGTGAAAACTTTTGTGTAGATCTGGCTGTTGAATTGAATGGTGAATATAAATATAGCAATAAAAATTTGTATTTTTAATTTGTGCAAAGATGTTAATTTATATTGTGATATACAAGTCTTTTATTGTATGACAGGAGAAGGATGCAAGGGACATAGAGATTCCAAATATTAGATGGGAGGTTTTTGAGCCAATGATGAGGTCTAATACATTCTGAATTCATGTGCTTTATGAAAGTTGTACTGTGAAAGCTTGTAATAATTTGTGGACACCTTAAATCTAATTGTTTAATCTTTGTCCAGATTTATATATACTGGATCAGTTGATGTTACTCTTGATATTGCCCAAGATCTCCTCCGAGCAGCTGATCAATATCTTCTAGAAGGACTTAAGAGACTCTGCGAATATACAATTGCACAGGTCAGCTAAAAGAATTGGTTTTGTTACATACTGTCTTGTGTTCCTGCACTGGTATTAGACTGGAAACTGGATTCCTCGTGACTTGATGTTTTTGTGGCAGGATATATCACTGGATAACGTGTCAAGTATGCATGAACTTTCGGATGCCTTTAATGCTATATCGTTGAGGCACACATGCATCCTTTTTATCTTGGAGCACTTTGATAAATTGAGTGCAAGGCCAGGGTAACTATCTGATTACCTCAATCCTGTGATTGCGTCTCGTAAATATTTCTTTTCCTCTCCAATGCGTAATAGACATTTGTAATACCCTAATAAAGTCACAAATCTAAATAGAATATATATCTGGAGGTTTTAGGCTAGTTTCACCTACTTTTAATTCCCATTGTCTTTATGTTCCTTGTTCTGCCAAAGGAATTAGATATTGGAAGTCTTAGGCACTACTTAAACTATGATATTCTTTTACAGGTCTAATCTAAAGCGTAATTATACAGCCTACTATATCAAGTAATTAATAATGAATAGTTCTGCCGGATCATGAGCTATTTTTCATATTGAGGGGGTGGCTGTGTAAAGGTTTCTCCAGGGGTATCGATGAGTATATGGTTTACGGAACATTTGAAGAAAGTAGTAAACTTAGTTCGCATGATCCTTTTTCCATTTTAGTGCAAAGCTCCTGATAATTTAACTATTAATTTAACTATTAAGTGGCAACTAGAAAACATATTTTTACATAGTCTTATTGGCTTTCAGATGAGAAATAAAGGGTTTGATTTTTTATATATGGTTATAAAAGAGTGGAAAGCCATGTACTGCTCTTTCTTTGGGAGAGAAGAGGGAGATGTAGTGTTTTGTATATAATATATTGCTGGCCTTTTGTTTCCTTTTTTTTTTCTGTTCTTAATAACCTATATATTCTTAATTCTGCTTGCTTTTGACAATAGACTGGGAACTTAATCTTCATTATAGATAGGTTTTGGCCGTAGACACCAACCTTTGGTTTGAAAATAAGCTGGATAATTAAGTTTCAGCAGATCAATTAAAGCAGTTGGTTGGAACTTGGTCGCCACCATATACTTATATCACGAATATAATGATTGAAACCCACATTTATCATTGCATTGGTTCTGTCTTAATTCTTAAGCTTCTTGAATTTTTGTTTGTGCCAACTTTTTGCAGACACTCTCATCTGATTCAGCGTATAATACCAGAGATCCGCAATTACTTTGTTAAAGCTCTTACAAAGGCCAATTCCAGCATGCAGCCGTAGTATCTGTGGATCTTTTATTGACGTCTAACTGATTGTAATGTACAGAATGTGGTAGATGTTCTTCCTTTTATTGAACCCGTGAAGGAGGTCTCCTGGATGGAATACAGAATGGCTTAGAGTAATATCTAACACCAGGTCATGTATGTTCTTTTCTGATGCAGTGTTAGTCCCTTCTGGCTGTAACCTTTGTCATAGATGTAGCAGATATGATGACCTTCACGAACATTGTTTTTCCTCATGCAATATTGTGACGGTTTTGACTTGATAGTTCTCCTTCTCAATTGATTTTGCATTTCAATTGTTGAGTTCATGATTATTATCATAGGTTACCCAAGCACTTCATGTATATATGACAATTAGATAGTCGTCTGCAAGAAAATTGTGCTGATGGGTAATTTATGTTATGTAAGTCGTTAATCTTGTCTTCTGATATGGAAATATATTGTAAATTAATTGACTCAAAATCTTGTCTTCCTGTAAGTGCTGATGTATTGTCTTTAATCTTATCTTCCAATATTGTGAATTTATTCTTTATGCATGCAGTCAAGCAACAAAAATGTTTTCCTACGTCCAAATGAAACCAACACAAAATCAGTGGACAAAATCGACTGAACAAATTTTCCAGCTTTGTGGTGGTTGAGGATAATCTTTTATAGAACACTGTACTGATTCACTCAAATCAAAACATAACACGTGACATGAAAATTGAATGTCGTCAGATTATAAAGTCTAATCTCCTGTCTGGGTGTATTAGAATTTCTCTACGTACACCCGTGATTTAATTTTCCGTAGAATAATGTAAGACAGCCTTGTAGGAAAAGGTTTGATTGTTGTTGTAGGTTTTTTATTTCCTCTATCACCTTCTCTTTGTACGGGGGAAAGAATCCCAACAGTGTGCGTCGCTTTGAATAGGCCAATCGGCCTTCTGTGTTTGTTTCATGATTGGTGTATACCGTGCAAGACATCGTACGTGCGTGACTGAAGTAAAACATGCATTTTTCTCTTTCAAGTTCATTTCACCTCGGCCTTTTTTCTCCTCTACTATAATTTCTTGCGGACAACTACTGCTGGATATACAGGACGAATTAACTGTTGAATATTTTATTATTCGTGCTTGTTGGAAATAACCCAAACTTTTGATTGATTCATTTGAAATTCATACGCACTTTGGAGTTCTTAAAGATTGGATGTCTTGCCAGCAGCGATTTGTAGCCAACAATCACTGTTTTCTCGATTAAAAAATTAGGATTAAGCCTGTGTTTTGTTTTTTTGTTTTGGTTGATAAGCATAAGTTATTTAAATATTAATTTAGATTACTGATGGCCAACCCTTACTTGCTGTTGTTTATATCAGTGTTATAAAACCTGGCCCGACCTGGTCAACGGACGGGTTTTACTCAAGCATCGGATTGGCCATGCACTGGATCTGGTCAAAACCCGATCAAACTCGGCCAAAATTGACCAAACCTGGTCAAAATTGGTGACCCGTGACCCCGTCGGGTCATGTATTTAAAAAAAAAACAATTATTTAAAAAAATGTAGAACTCATTTTAATTTTTTTTGTAATTTTATTTCCTAGTAGTATATTTTTCTAAAATTTCAGCTTTCAATACTGAAGCAATTTGCGAAACAATAAACTAAGAAAATGTGACATGTTATTTCAATCGATTCGACCAGTGACCCAATATCCTGACCGGATTGATGCCCGGATCGGATTTAATAACACGGGTTAATATTAAATTATCTAGGCTTTTTGAGCACTGTGCCCTTTCATTAATAACTAATTATTATTTTGTCTTCATACCAAAATATATCACTCATCTGCTCCTGTTTATCGGAGTATATGAACGGATACCTGTTTATTTTTTTAAAAATGAATTATTTACCGTGGTATATAGAGAGATACCCAGGTATATTGCACAGACTAAGTTTCCTTTGAATTATTTACTCAAGTACGGAGGAGAATATTCGAGTATATTGCTCTGGCCAGGCCCAAGCATCACGAAAAGTCATCATTGTTATTAGATAAACTTAAATGTACGGTTTTTAGATTAATGGGTCTCTAGAAGTTTTATGTTTAGGAATTAATGTTGGTTAAGTGTTATGGGGGTTTGGTTTTGATATTTGTTAAATGGCTGTAAGTTTTCTACGGTTTATGTTTTATTGCGTTTAATAGCTTTTAATAGGTGTTTAAGTTATTTTTAGCAAGCTACCATATAAGGAGATGTAATCGTCATAGAAAGTACAGAGCAAGAAAAGAGAGTTTGATAATAAAGAAAAACTTTCGTAGATTATTCGTTTGGTTGTCTCTTGCATCTGTGTGTTGATACCTTAACAAATTGGTATCAGAGCTATGGAAAGGGGGAGTGATATGGCACTACCTAAGTTGACGAAGGAGAACTACGAGAATTGGTGCATCCAGATGAAGGCTCTTCTCGGATCCCAGGACGCTTGGGAGAATGTTCAAGCAGGTTTTGTAGAACCACATGACACTGGAGGCTATTCGGCGGCTCAAACTAAAACGTTGAAAGAGACGCGTGCAAAGGACAAGCTGGCGTTATTCATGCTCTTCCGAGCTGTGGACGAATCCGGGTTCGAGAAGATAGCAAATTGTGAGACCTCAAAGGCAGCCTGGGACACCTTGGCAAATGTCTATAGAGGAGCTGACCGGGTTAAACAAGTCCGGCTTCAAACCCTTCGTGCCGAGTTGGAGGGAATAAAGATGAAGGACACGGAAGGAGTATCCGGGTTCGTTGCCCGGGTTCAGGGAGTTGTGAACCAGTTGAAACGGAATGGAGAAGTTATACCTGACACCAGAGTGGTGGAGAAAATCCTGAGATCTTTGACAGACCAGTTCGAAAACGTGGTTTGTGCGATAGAGGAGTCCAAGGATCTGTCTACACTCACTATTGATGAGTTGGCGGGTTCTCTTGAAGCGCATGAACAAAGAAAGAAGAAGAAGGAGGAGACTCTTGAACAAGCGCTTCAGACCAAAGCAACAATTAAAGATGAGAATGTTCTCTATTCTCAAAACTTTCGAGGTAGAGGACGTGGCCGCGGTGGACGAGGTACTAGCCGTGGTGGTAGGGGCCGAGGCCGAAGTCAAGAAGGTTGTAATGATGAGGTAGGACAATCAAGTCAACAGAACTGGCGTGGAAGAGGACGGGGTCGTCGAGGAGGTCGGTCACATTATTCAAACATTGAATGCTACAAGTGTGGCAAGTATGGTCACTATTCAAAAGATTGTAACTCGGACAAATGTTACAATTGTGGCAAGGTTGGACATTTTGCAAGAGAATGCAGAGAAGAGAAAAGGGTGGAGGAGACATCTAACCTAGCCACAGAAGGCGAGATGAAGGATGGTGTCTTGTTAATGACACACAGTGAAGGAAGGTCAGACGATGACATGGAGTGGTATCTTGACACGGGTGCGAGCAACCACATGTGCGGACATAAGCACTTATTCAAGGAGATGAGAAAGGTGGAAACCGGACATGTTTCATTCGGGGATGCCTCGAAGGTTGAGGTAAAAGGCCGATGTACGATCTGTTTTTTACAAAAGGACGGGTTAATTGGCTCAATTCGAGATGTGTACTATGTACCCGACCTAAAAAGCAATATTTTAAGCATGGGTTAATTGATGGAGAAAGGTTACTCGGTTATTATGAAAGACCGGGTATTGTATTTGAAAGATGAGCGAGGTCGGGTGATAGTCCGAGTTCAAATGGGTAAGAATCGTATGTATAAACTGAATTTGAAATGTGTACAGGTTGAATGTTTACAAGCCGAGGTAGAAGATAAGGTGTCACTGTGGCATCTCCGGTTTGGTCACCTACATTATGGTGGTCTAACCGAGTTGGCAAAGAAGAAGATGGTGGACGGGTTACCTGACATAAACTTTGAAGGAAAATTTTGTGAGAGTTGTGTACTTGGCAAGCATGCCAGGACTACGTTTCAGAAGACGGCAAGGTTTCGGGCTAAGCAACCTCTGGAATTAATACATACCGACTTGTGTGGACCCATCAATCCGGGTTCTTTTAGCGGTAAGAAGTATTTTCTCTCTTTTATTGATGATTTCTCACGGAAAACTTGGGTCTATTTTCTGAAGGAGAAGTCCGAGGTGTTTGATGTGTTCAAAAAGTTCAAGGTGATGATTGAGAAGGCAACAAGAAGCTATATCAAATCGGTGCGTTCTGACCGAGGTGGGGAATATACCTCGACAAAATTTCTGACATTTTGTGAGGAACAGGGGATAAGGAGGTTTCTAACAGCACCATACTCACCACAACAGAACGGTGTGGCTGAAAGGAAGAACCGAACTATTCTTGACATGGTTCGGGCAATGCTCAAAAACAAGAAGATGCCGAAGGAGTTTTGGGCGGAAGCTGTGCAGTGTGCTGTGTATGTGCAGAACCGATGTCCACATTCGAGTTTAGATGACAAAACACCACAAGAAGCTTGGAGCGGTCAAAAGCCATCAGTGGAACATCTTAGAGTATTTGGTAGTGTGGCCTATGCACACGTACCAGACCAGCTCAGAACTAAGCTCGAGGACAAAAGCAGGAAATATGTTTTTGTGGGATATGATGAAAAAACAAAGGGGTATAAGCTGTTTGACCCCGTCAACGAGAAGGTTGTAGTGAGCCGAGATGTAAGGTTTAATGAAGCAAATGAGTGGGACTGGAGCAATTCATCCGAGGTGAATTTTGAAGGCAGAATCTCAACACAAATTATCAACCCGGCAAGCCCTGAAGTTTCTGATGATGAAGACGAGGTACGACAACCCAGGATGCGGAGCATACAGGACATATATGAGTCAACAAGTGAGGTACATTTTGTTTGTCTTCTTGCAGACTCTGAAAACATAAGTTTTGAAGAAGCCATCCGAGATAAGAAATGGCAAGATGCCATGGATGAGGAGATAGAAGCCATTGACCGAAATAACACATGGGAGTTAGCCGAGCTACCAAACGGAAGTCGGCCCATTGGAGTGAAGTGGGTGTTCAAGAAGAAGATGAATGCTAAAGGGGAGATAGAACGAAATAAAGCTCGGCTAGTTGCAAAAGGTTATAAGCAGAAGGCTGGAATTGACTATGACGAGGTGTTTGCCCCTGTTACAAGGATGGAGACAATTCGGCTACTCATCTCACAGGCTGCTCAATACAGGTGGCCAATACATCAAATGGATGTAAAGTCGGCATTTCTGAATGGTGTTCTTGAAGAAGAAGTCTATGTGGAACAACCGCCGGGCTACATGAAGGCAGGAGAAGAGAAGAAGGTGCTGAGATTGAAGAAAGCACTTTACGGGTTGAAGCAAGCACCACGGGCATGGAATGCTCATATTGACAAATATTTCAAGGAGAATGGACTTGAACAATGTCCATATGAACACGCTGTTTATGTTAAGAAAAATAGAGGAGACTTGTTAATTGTAGCTCTTTATGTTGACGATCTCATTTTTATGGGAAACAATGCCAAGATGATACAAGAGTTCAAGAGCACAATGACAAGAGAATTCGAAATGACAGATCTTGGTCTGATGAAATATTTTCTTGGTCTGGAAGTCAGACAAGACAACTCGGGTATCTTTGTCTCTCAAGAGGCATATGCAAAGGAGATTCTCAAAAGATTTAAGATGGCAGATTGCAAGCCGGTTTCAACTCCTATGGAACCCGGTTCAAAACTCTCAAAGTATGATGGTGGAGATCTAGTTGATGCAAGCAAATACAGAAGCTTGGTGGGAAGCCTACGCTATCTCACATGCACGAGGCCGGATATCTCGTTGAGTGTCGGCGTAGTAAGTCGGTTCATGGAGGAGCCAAGATACACACATTGGAAGGCGGTAAAGAGAATTTTGAGGTATGTTCAAGGTACAATTTCACACGGGTTACACTACCCGAGTTCAGCAAAACACAAGTTGATTGGATACTCTGACAGTGATTGGTGTGGAGACGTAGATGATCGAAAGAGCACGGCTGGTTATGTGTTTTTCATGGGCAACACGGCATTCACTTGGATTTCGAAGAAGCAACCCATTGTAACCTTGTCTACCTGTGAAGCTGAATATGTAGCAGCATCTTGGTGTGTTTGTCATGCAGTATGGCTTAGGAATTTACTAAGCAAGTTGGAGGAAAAACAAGTCGGCCCAACCGAGATTCGAGTTGATAACAAGTCGGCTATAGAGTTAGCCAAGAACCCGGTGAATCATGAGAGAAGCAAGCATATTGACGTCCGATTTCACTTCATCCGGGATCAAGTAAAGGAAGGAAATGTGGAGTTAACACACGTGACCAGTCAAGAGCAAGTCGGGGACATTTTCACAAAGCCACTGCCGACGTTGCTGCTCAACAATTGCAAGAAGATGCTTGGGATGAAAGATGGAAGAAGCATTTAAGTTTATGGAGGAGTGTTATTAGATAAACTTAAATGTACGGTTTTTAGATTAATGGGTCTCTAGAAGTTTTATGTTTAGGAATTAATGTTGGTTAAGTGTTATGGGGGTTTGGTTTTGATATTTGTTAAATGGCTGTAAGTTTTCTACGGTTTATGTTTTATTGCGTTTAATAGCTTTTAATAGGTGTTTAAGTTATTTTTAGCAAGCTACCATATAAGGAGATGTAATCGTCATAGAAAGTACAGAGCAAGAAAAGAGAGTTTGATAATAAAGAAAAACTTTAGTAGATTATTCGTTTGGTTGTCTCTTGCATCTGTGTGTTGATACCTTAACAATCATCAGGCACCCACCATGACCTAACCTTAACAGTAAAGAGCAAACCACCAAATACAACATATAGAAGAATGAAGCCTGGAGTCGAATTAAGCAACAGAACAAGCATAGGCAACCATCCTCAACAATTTGGTATTCCACCCTAACGGTCCACAAGCCCCATCCCCACTCATACTCTTGTCATGGCATCCGAAAGGTCAACCCATACTTCTGTCTTATATCCCTTTGATCCGACAATCCTTAGCTTACAAACCTGCATTTTAACCTAATATTTTACATGTCACATTTTAAGTCTCAATGTTATGTATCAGTAAAGTGAAAGGAGTCAACAATGTCAAAGTGCATGGCCAATTGCACAACAGCAGAACGCACAACTTCGGACTTTGGTGCAGATCGGCAGAATATGAATCTGTAGATAAATTATAGAACACAGCATACAGGAGTCCATTCAGTAACTTCAATTTAATAGCCTGAAGAAGTCTAGATGGCAGTCAAATGCTATTGTGTCATTCTCCCAGACCAATCTCCAATCAAAATAAAAAATGAATGCATCGGCTAATTCATAAAAAAACTAGAAGGGTTAACCAGTCAAATGCTATTCATTTCATTTTATTATTTATTTTGGCTATAAGCGAACCATGGACACTCCAATAGCCGCATCTCAGACGGGGCTAAACGAAAGACAAGGAAATAAGGAAGAAACCGCATGACATGTTCCATCCACGATAAGGTTGAAACAACCGGTGGAATTTGTCGGAAAAGTGGACGGAATTGAAGGGAAGATGTGTTAGGGTTTAGGGAGGAGTGGGTTTTTTAAAAACTCAGTCCGGAATGTGTTAGTTCTTAAATGTCGATTTATTACTTGTGCACGGGATTGACTGAAATTAATCTAGACTTCTAAATAAACGCAAATCATTACAATCAACATACCAATATTTATTATTTTTTCTGAAGACTTTTTCAACTTGAACTTTTTTTGAAAAATAAATAAATAAAGTCATTCCAAAAATCATTACACCTCTTATCGTACTGCATCAAAAAAATAATAAAAAATAAACAAATTGTAAACTGAGATATGATATTATGGAAGAAGGATTTTATCAACTAGACCAAAGCCAAGTCAGATTGTATTATTCAGTTTTAAGGGACTTTAAACGACGGAAATACATAATTCTAAGAAACTTATTATGGAAGGTTGCAGGAAACCATTGCAAACTCATGGACATTGGAATGCAGCAGTTCTTTCACTGTCGAAGAAAATCAACCACAACTTTTATCAATCTTTTGGCTTGCTCAGTTTCCATATTGAACATGTGATAAACATGATCCTCTTCTTCCTCTTCAAAGAGTTCTATTTCCCCTTTCCACCCGCTCCCCTTCACAGCTTCATAATACAACACTGCTCTGTACCTGAAGTGCAGGTGATCCTTGCCAGCAACAGTAACAAGCATCTTAGAACACCCGAGTGTAGCCAAACTGGGTGCCCCAGGAGCCAATGGATTGATCATGGGGTTATCTAACCCACCAGGAGCAGAAGGGTACGCAAAGTTCCAAATCAGAGACTGATATGTCTCCTCGAACCCCATAACAGGTTCAGACCCAATTGGCTTTGAACCCCAAAAGTAGGGGTGGTTAAGATAAGCACCATATAATTTCACACCACCGGGTAAAGCTTCAACCCCAGCACGCATGGCAACGTTATGAACAATATTACCACCACTGCTGTCACCTCCTATGAAAACTTTGTTGAAGTCGCCATGATTCATCAGCCATGGGTCGCTGTTGGTGGGGTTAGCGGTGGCATGGGATGCAACCCAGTAGAGACCAGCCCAACAATCATCATAAGCTGTTGGGAGAAAATGCTCCGGAGCTTTCCTGTGCTCTACGGAAACAATCACAACATTCGCTTGAGAAGCTAAAAGGTTGCAGTATTTGACATGGTGCGATGCAAAGGCTGATTCAAAGCAAAAAGCACCGCCATGAAAGTAGACCAAGATGGAGAGTTTGTGGTTGTGATTGGATTGAGATAGCTTTGGAAGGAAAAGCCGAGCAGCGAGGTAAGGGTTCTTTGAGAAGAGAATGTCTTTGGATGAGACACCAGTTGCTGGGTCTTCGGGGGAAGGGGGACATCTTGGGATGTTCAAGGGACGTTCAATGGAACCATCATTGTAGACGCGTATGTAGGATCCCAAATGTACGACTGTCTCCTTCTTGGTGTTGGTGGAGGTCATACCTGCCATGGAAGCCATACAAAAGTAAGTTACAAAGACTTGGGATTACTTTGTGAAGTCTTCTGCTATTCATGTAATATATATAGACAAACACCAGTGTATTTTTATTTTTTATTTTAAAAAACGTTTAGTATCTATTTATTTGAACCAACCTAATTTCAGCTGGTCAGCTTGAAGAAACTGACGTTTCTCTCGAATCTATCCAAAAGTGAAGGTAGGGAGTTTCAGTTTCAATATTAAATTGAGTTCCAAATATTTGAATTGATGTAACTCTGCAACCATCTTTTATATTTAGGGGCGTTTGTTTAACTAGAAATTTTTTTGAATACTAGAAAAGAAAAATATAATTGATTGAGAAATGGTTAGAAAATGACTTTAGTAGGAAAATGTAAAAAAAATTGTTTGGTTAGAAAAAATTTTATCAGGCAAATTAGGTAAAATTTATAAAATCTATGTTTGGTTTGAGGTAAAATATAGATGGAAAAATAAATTACAATTACGAAAATTTCTTTAAAATTTTTTTAATCACCTACCCTTTACTTTTTTTTTTTAGTACAAACCCATATATGTTGTCGGTGGTTAATGGGTCATCTAAGGGATCTCATTCAGCAACATCTCAAGCTCATCAAGCTCTCCATCACCATTCACGTTTTCTATCATCTCTTTCCCCATCTTAACACTTTCACACACGGAGAAACCAACAAAGAAGTGAAAGAACAACAAAAAAAAAGATGAAGAAAAATAACAAAAGAAAATTCACAGCAGTCCAAGAATCAGAGAACCCATTTGAGATATTGATTCAATGAGACTGAAAAACATAACCCCATGACAGATTACAACTCATCTGGGTTAGGTTCAGAGGTTGCAAAAACTCAAAAAGTTGATTCCTTTGTGATGAGAATTCCAATTGCATTTGCATTTTCAGAAAATCATATTATTTGGGTTATGGGTATTGTTTGTGAGGAGTTGGTGAAACATGCAAATATTGAAGATTCAAATGCTGTTTTGAGAACACTCAGCACTCACCATTAAAGCTGGAGCAAAAAAATACTGTTAGAAGAGGGTAATTTTGGCATCTCCTTTGTCATCTTTTTTTCATTTAGCTGGCTAACTTCAAATACCACATTAGAAGTGGGATTTGAGCATAGTGTATTTCATCTGAATTTGCAAACAATCATCAATAACTGGGTAAATTGGTTTGCTAGGAAAAAAACTTGATATCTTACCCTTAAACTCCAACCAAACGCTCTTTTAAAGAAAAGTTTATAAATTCTTTTTATCACTTATATTTCTATGCTTTTTTTTATTATTAATTTTTTTTCCATCCAAATCCACTTTTAACATTGTTACTTATTAAACTAACTTACATATTTTACCCTTATTTTATGTTTGTAATTTTGTCTATAAAAAATAAAATCTGACCTTAAAAAGCATTTCTTATGTACCAAAAAATGGCCCTGCAACTCACTTTTTTGTGGCAGTAATAGTTGTGGGTTTGTTTTGTGTGACCAATACTGTGACACAGGATTCAGACATAGCACCAACGTCGCAATTAATGGAGATTGGAGCTGGGTTTGCTTTGCCTGTTTTGGGTTCTTCTATGTTGGCTTCTCTTATGATGCAGTGAATTGGAATGCTTATAATTAAAATTGTCACTTACTGGGGGTTATCATGTTTTGTTTAATGTGTTAAAATTGATATATGTTTATAAGTAAATAATTATGTTATGTTGCATGAGATAATTATCTCATGCAATACTGATAAAACAGTGAACTTCATTATCTTATCTATGTTGTATGAAATAAATAGATCCCATGTTTATAACGAATTTAAAGGGTATTTTTGTTGCTTTTAACTATTCTTGAAAATGGTGCTGGGATTTGGGCAGTTTTATGAAAAGTAACAATGATCTCAGCACATAATAGTAACAACCGATAATAAAGGATTAATTGCATGATCTCAGCACATAATAGTAACAATGATAATGAAGCTTGCAGTACTAATATTATTGTTATTCACAGCTAAATTATAAGGGGATAATTGATAAAAAAATATATATAAAAATATAACTGATAAAAGAGTAAATCATATAGGAGTTTATAAACTTTTTACTATTATTTATTCAAAATCTTGCAAGAAATATTTAAAAAAATTAATGTTCATTAAATATGCAATATAATAACATATCCTAATCTGATTTTAATGTCTTATAATATTAATTTTGACATTATCTTCCTTTTTCTAATTTTGTTAACAGTTGAATTCTAAACTGACTTCTGATATCGATCACAATCAGTTTTCACAATCTAAATCAATATTTAAATTGATATAACTCTGATATCTATCATTAATATTTATTTAAGATCTTGGAAATGTTCAAAATATTTAATGTATGCATTTAATGTTCAATAAATAAGTAGATGCCGTTGCAAAAAAGGAATTGTTATTTTTAAACAAATAACATTTTTAATGATTAATTAAAATGAGTAATGATGACAGTTTTTTCAAAAATTATATAATCCGACCATGTAATATTTTGATTATTTAATTCAGAAAAATATACGCACTTTTACATTACTTGATTTTAACTTTGCCAATCTCATGTTAAATGATTTTATGGGAAAGGGAATTCTTTTCTTATAATAGTAACTAATGTTGTCAAAATCGAGTTTCTACGTAGAAATGGAAGGGAATGGTAGAAACGTAAATCGTAAAAATGACACGAAGCATAGAGTTTCTACTACATAAGGAAAAGATACAAAATTATATATATATATATATATCACTGCTCAAAATTTAATGAACAATTTCATATTTTAAAAAATAAGTCTCATAACTATATAAGACATAAGTTCAAAAAAATAAAAAAAGAGTTTAACTACTCCTATAACCAAGTTCCAAAATATCAAAAGAATAAAGTTTAAATAACTTCTAAATTATATCAATTGATTCAAATCAAACACATTATTTGCATCAATTACATGTCCTCAATGTCCTCTTCTCTTGCTCCTATAACAAGTTTTTATACGAAGTTTCTACCAGTTTTTACTGAGGAGAGTTTTTACTTGCGTTTTAACACGTATCACTTAAGTAAAAACGTAAAAACATATGTTTTTACTTTTTTAGACTAGTTTTTGACAACAATACTAGTAAGAGTTCGTTTTATATGCAAACAATTTTTTTTCTTTATGTATGGGTCTCGCCCCGAGTTTAAGTTTGTAGGAAACTACCCTTTTCTCCAGCAACATGAGAATTTCATTGCCCAGATTTTATTTATCTTTAATTAGCTATTGTCTTCAATTTTTTTCATGATGAGAAAAAATTAAAGCAAATAAGTAAAAGTTATTGGCATGAGTGATCACTTAAAAAAAAGTTATAACCATAACATGTAATACAATAAAATATATATTAAAATAACAAGTGCTTAAACATAGGGGACAATTACCTTTTTGCCACATCATTGGCAAAAATTTATCGGAATGCCATGCTTCAACAAAAATTTGCTAAAATGTCACATCACCTAAATCGCTACAACACCTAGCGATTTATAACTCGCTCATTAAGCAGTGTAGAATTTTCAGTCAGTCAACGTGTCAAACTGCCCAATCTGCAACACCAGTCCACTTCGCATAAATTGTTGTGCAACATGGCGCATTACGTGGCAACCGCTCTGCCACTCCACGCATGAATGACCCATGTCCCAACACCAGCAAACCCACTGCACAGTGTAGCATTACTGTGCAGGTCCCACCACTATATATACCGGAGCCCCTCCTCTTTTTCTCACTCTCACACCGGTCACCCTACTTACCTCACACTCTCTCTAAAAGGTTAGTATTTATATTTTTTAATTTAAATATTATTATTATTATATATTATTATTTTTGCTTTATAGAATTAATTTTGGGACTTAAAACCATAGGTTAGATGATATTTTTTTAATTTGTTAGTGTAGGAAGTAAATTCTAGGATAGATGATATATTTTATATTTGTTGAATGAGTTAATTAGTATAGCTAAATTATAGGATAATTCATATTTTATATTTTTAATTAAATTATAAAAAGGATTTTAACATTAGTTTGAAATTTTTTGTTTTAAATAGTTTATGTTAATTTAATTTATTCTACGACTATAAACCCTAGGATAGATGACATATTTTTGTTAAATTAATTAGTATAAGTGGATTGTATTTATTTGAAGACTTGAAATCGTAGGACAGTTTACATAATTATGTTTTTTGCTATATTAATATCTAGGAATAACATGATTAACTTTTTAATTATTTTTTAATATAGATTCATGGTTTCCTCGTATGATTGACGGCCTGATTCACCAATTCCAGGTGAAAGAGTCGGATGACACATGGCGATACACAGACATGAATCAAAATCATTCTCCACGTTGGTGTCTGCTCTACTGTTGGAGAGAGCTCTGGGAAGGTAGTGGTTGCGGTGGTGGTGGTGGTGGTGGTGGAGGAGAGAGAGAGAGCGAGTTGGTGAGTTAAAGTTGAGCCATGAGACCGAGTTGATAGAATAGAATTGAATAGAATACAAGAAAGTGGAAATGTACATAATTGGATGCCGTAGACACCAAGAAGGTAGTAGTGAAACCCAAGAAATTTTCATGTCGTTCACGTACAGTGAGTTGTTTTTTTCTTTCAAAAAAATAATATTAAAATAAAAATATACATAATTAATACTTAATTCAGATTGCACCTTGTTTCGGGATGGCCATGTGGGCTTAGGCAAGCCTAAATGTAGCCCACATCCGAGTCAGGATGCAGCGATAAGGTACAAGCATTCGAGCCCAAAATCCGGATTAAGAGCTAGGAATGTGCGTAGGGCCCAAGTGTTAGTGGCCTCAAAAGGGCCCTACTACCATAATCTCAATAGTGGATAATCAGTAACTACCCACTCTTATGGTAACCCCTGTTATAGCATATATATAAAGGGAAAAACTCCATAAGAAAGATACACAAGATATTAGAGAATACTTATTAATGTTCGTCCAAAACATTGACGCCGTCTGTGGAAAAGGTAAAATTATTCCCACCTTTCTTAATGGATAGTAACAATCGTGATGAGCGGAGGTTGGAGAATGATAATTTTGGTGGAGAAGAAGAGGATTCTTTCCGATCCAGTGGGAGGAGCCGTTCTTTGAATACAATTGGACAAGCTTTAATCCAGTTAGCAGAAGACATAAGCTGAAATACCCGACTATAAACCCTATGTATCTCACTGTTGGAGAGAGAGCTGACATGAAAGAGCTTCCCTACATTCTCATTGTCTTGCATCTCACCAATAAAGTCTTGAGATAAGTCAGTGAGATAACTAACCCCCACCAACTCTGGTATAAACTTGAGTCCTTATACCTTGTCAAGTCTCTGTCAAATAAAATCTACCTCGAGGAGAGGTTTATAAATTTTAAATGGACATTAACAAGACTCTTGATGAGAATCTTGATGAATTCATGAAACTCACATTGGGTCTTGCTCATGTCGATGCTAAGGTGAGTGAGGAGGATCAAATTACAATGCTGTTGGGAGGAGGATATTTGAGAAAAGTAAAGGTTATAGAAAGATATGGAAGAAGAGAATGCTTTTCTTACTACACAACTCTTTTTCTTTTTGGCTTGTTACAAAATGTTGGAGACGACCCTTGTTTATACTAGTGGCACAATGACTCCAAATAATTCTAGAGTTTTTTATACTAGCCTAGTACAAATATTAATTGTGGTAGGTGCAACTACCCTCATTAATAATGGTAGGTGCAACTACCCTCTAGATCTTTCATGGAATTGAATAGAATATAAATTTCTAGATCTTGGGCTAAACTAACTCCTAAAGTATAATTCTAGATGTTGGGCTAAATGTATACTAAGTCCAATGGACCAAAAACTAAATCAAGTTTATTTATTCAACACCCTTCCTTAAACTTGATTTTGTAACTCCAAGCAATTTTCTCATCTTGACAAAGTCTTCATTCTTGCCTGGCGGTAGTGTGATTTGAATTCTAGCACTCCCCCTCAAATCAGGCTTCGTATGCCAATCATATTTTTTGGAACACATTTGTCTGGTGGCTTTGGGATTGGTGGAAAATAAACAATCTTTATCGGTGTTTGTGACATCTCCGGTACATACATAATCTCTGCTAAATTTGACCAAGTAATCCTTCGTTCTTTTGGTTTTGCTCATTCTCCATAATATCTTCTTTCTTTTGCTTTTCTGGCACATCCACGAGAGTTTGTTTTTCTTTTACTATAATTATTTCTCCTTTGTTTGTCTTCTTTGTTGGTACTCCCCCTGACTTGTTGCTACTGCTCTTTGGCTTCACTTTCTGTTCAAAATCACTAGATGTTTCTTCTTCCTCAACAGTGTCTAAATAGAAAACAAGGTATTATATTCCCAAATCCTCTTCTTTCTCACATTCCTCATCATCATCATTGACGTCGTTAGGATTACCACTACGCTCGTTGTCACCTTTTCCTTATCTTTTTTCTTCATTTTCTTTCATCAAAGCATATTTATTCATCCACTTAGCAGCTTCTGTATTTTCTTCCACATCATCAATATTATCAGCTTCAGCTTCTTGTTCTTCTTCCTTTTTCACAGTCTCTGATTTTTCTGACTCAAATTCATTTTGGATATCGAGCTCTGATTCTGGATTGCTTGATTATGTGTCATCATCAATAAGACAAACTTCAAGTAGATATTTTGCTTTAAACGACTTCTCAAAGTCCTTCCAGCTTGCATCAAGATTGGACCATATGCATCCTTGATACCATTCTTGATACCAACTAAACGCGCTTCCTCTTAGTCTTCTCACAGCTTCCATCAACTTTGCATCTTCATCGATTTTCTCTGCCTGAAAATATTCTTTCAAACAAATTAAACATCTCGCAGCTTTATCTTCATTTCCATAAAATTTTGGAATCTCCATTTTTTTATCGAACAGATAGCACGACTCCCAGAACGAGGCTCTAAAACTATGCTTATCTTTTCACGGTGCTTCAGCACTTCTCTTCACCACAGCTCCCAAATCGAGGACTCTGATTCGCCTCTTTGATCGATCATGGCTCTGATTCGCTTTTTTGATCAAATCGGGCTCTGATTTGCTTTTTTTAAAAACCCAGACCGTGCAATATATCTGGGTATTGAAAAGAAATTTCAAAATAAATCTATTTTTAAAATAATATTAAATTAATTAATATAACCCAAGTGGGAGAATATTAGAAATTTTCCTTTAGGTGGACAATATTAATTAATTAATTTTTTGTTTTAAAATTAATCGGGTTAATAGATATTCCACTTGTATTATTTTGACTAGCCCATTGAGATCATATTGATTTGGGCTTATGATATATGTTAGTATTGGATCTAGTTGGACAGCAGTGTAGGCTTTAGTGTGAACCTGATTCTCCGTGACTGGTGAACCCAATGGATACAAAATCTTCTCAAGGTATTTGAATAGGTCCCTTCTCTAGCTATTTATATTGGGGTTAAACCCTATGAGCTGTCATGCTCCTATGGCTGAAGGCTGACATTTTGGAATAAGTTATAGAGAGGAAGATTCTATCCATGAGATCAAGGTTATTCGTTTAGTAGATAAGATGGTACAATGAGGTACACAAATTCATCTCAAAATGAAATTAATATATGATGTTTTATCTATATATCATGCATGTTTCGATCTTTGTGTTGAATTATTATATAAAAAAAATGGGGAAGGATATTGTAACAACCAATTAATGTTACTACCAACGTTATTACCAATCAATTTCACCATTAGATCGATTATGTTGATCCAACGGTTATATTTATTTTCATCTTTGTATGGTTATGATTCCTCATATTTAATGTGAAAGCATTAAATATGAGAAATCATAACTATACAAAGGTGAAAATAAATATAAAGTGTTAAATATGGAGAATCATAACCATACAAATATGGAAATAAATATAACCATTGGATCAACATAATCGATCTTACGGTGAAATTGATTGGTTGTAACACTATTTGGTTGTTACAATATGCTGACAAAAAAAAATTGCTTACAAGTATCCCCCTAGGGTTAACAAGGGCATATGAATAATATGTTTTGATACGGGGCAAAGTAATAATTAGTTATTATTGAAAGGGCAAAATGATCAAAAAGCCAAATTGTCTAGGTCTTATTATAAAGCGTCAATTTTAAATCTTTACCCTTTAAGCTTGCATGTCATTTGCCGAAGTTACTTCAAATTTAGGGCATGTGTGATGTATAAGACTTGATAGTATAAATTTATACTATACGTTATGACATTTTCAGTTGTTTGATGTGACCATCGTATAGTATATAAGCTTATACAACAGAATCTCTTAATACATCAAGATGATGTATAACTTAATCAGGCCTAATGGAGTGAGATTAGGCCTGATAAGAGGTTGATGAATTAATATTGCTTGCAAGTACAATTTTCAAGAACTAATATATCATTTCAATATAAATATATTAAAATAATTTTTTTTAATATATTAATTTTTAAAATATTGGAGGATATTTTTGTATACAATACCGTACCAAACACTGGATAGTATTAAAATTTAATCAGGTCTTATACAATCAAGTCTTATATTATTAGGTCTTATACAATCAGGTCTTATACTATCAAATTTTATACTATCGAACCTTATCCAATACTATGCACAAAACATGCCTTGCTTGCTAAACGTCGATTTATCGATTTATTACTTGTGCATGGGATTGACTGAAATCAATCTAGACTTCTAAATAAACGCAAATCATTCCAATCAACATACCAATATTTATTATTTTTTCTGAAGACTTTTTCAACTTGAACTTTTTTTGAAAAAAAAAAAAAGTCATTCCAAAAATCATTATACCTCTTATCGTACTGCATCAAAAAATAAATAAAAAATAAACAAAACTAAACTGAGATATGATATTTTTGGAGGAAGGATTTTATCAACTAGACCAAAGCCAAGTCAGATTGTATTATTCAGTTTTAAGGGACTTTAAACGACGGAAATACATAATTCTAAGAAACTTATTATGGAGGGTTGCAGGAACCCATTGCAAACTCAAGGACAATGGAATGCAGCAGTTCTTTCACTGGCGAAGAAAATCAACCACAACTTTTATCAATCTCTTGGCTTGCTCAGTTTCCATATTGAACATGTGATAAACATGATCCTCTTCTTCCTCTTCAAAGAGTTCTATTTCCCCTTTCCACCCGCTCCCCTTCACAGCTTCATAATACAACACTGCTCTGTACCTAAAGTGCAGGTGATCCTTGCCAGCAACAGTAACAAGCATCTTAGAACACCCGAGTGTAGCCAAACTGGGTGCCCCAGGAGCCAATGGATTGATCATGGGGTTATCTAACCCACCAGGAGCAGAAGGGTACGCAAAGTTCCAAATCAGAGACTGATATGTCTCCTCGAACCCCATAACAGGTTCAGACCCAATTGGCTTTGAACCCCAAAAGTAGGGGTGGTTAAGATAAGCACCATATAATTTCACACCACCGGGTAAAGCTTCAACCCCAGCACGCATGGCAACGTTATGAACAATATTACCACCACTGCTGTCACCTCCTATGAAAATTTTGTTGAAATCGCCATGATTCATCAGCCATGGGTCGCTGTTGGTGGGGTTAGCGGTGGCATGGGATGCAACCCAGTAGAGACCAGCCCAACAATCGTCATAAGCTGTTGGGAGAAAATGCTCCGGAGCTTTCCTGTGCTCTACGGAAACAATCACAACATTCGCTTGAGAAGCTAAAAGGTTGCAGTATTTGACATGGTGCGATGCAAAGGCTGATTCAAAGCAAAAAGCACCGCCATGAAAGTAGACCAAGATGGAGAGTTTGTGGTTGTGATTGGATTGAGATAGCTTTGGAAGGAAAAGCCGAGCAGCGAGGTAAGGGTTCTTTGAGAAGAGAATGTCTTTGGATGAGACACCAGTTGCTGGGTCTTCGGGGGAAGGGGGACATCTTGGGATGTTCAAGGGACGTTCAATGGAACCATCATTGTAGACGCGTATGTAGGATCCCAAATGTACGACTGTCTCCTTCTTGGTGTTGGTGGAGGTCATACCTGCCATGGAAGCCATACAAAAGTAAGTTACAAAGACTTGGGATTACTTTGTGAAGTCTTCTGCTATTCATGTAATATATATATATATATATATATATATATATATATATATATATATAGAGAGGCAGGATCCTTTGACACCGGTTGACACCTCATCTGAGAGGCCGTTAGATTAAAAAAAATCAATGGTGTCAGATGCTTACAAATCAGAATCGTTGATTTTTTTTAATCTAACTGCTCTCAGATGAGGTGTCAAACTTTTGTTTTGACACCGGTGTCAAATGATCCTGCCTCATATATATATATATATAGGCAGGATCCTTTGACATCGGTGTCAAAGGAAAAGTTTGACACCTCATCTGAGAGCCGTTAGATTAAAAAAAATCAATGGTGTCACATGCTTACAAATCAGAATCGTTGATTTTTTTTAATCTAACGGCTCTCAGATGAGGTGTCAAACTTTTTTTTTGACACCAGTATCAAAGGATCCTGTCTCATATATATATATATATATATATATACAAACACGCTCGCTGGAAGAGCATATTTTTCTTTTACCAGCGTGGCATTGAGTGTTTAAGTGTCCAGTGCAACGGTCATATTAAAGTGTTTAGTACAATAGTCATATTTGCATTATTTCATTTGAATGGATTGATATTTTTAAATTTATAAAATCAAATTCAAAATATTGAAATTGATGTAAACTCTTACAATATCATTAATTTTCATTTAAAATAAATAAATATTTAATGTATGCATTTAATGTTCAATTAATATGATAATATATCTTAATCCAAGTTTAATGTCTTACTGTAGTTTTTGAATAAATCTTAAGTGTATCTATTGTATTTAGATTCAGAGCATTTCACCATTGAAAGCATTACACGTCAGGAGAGAGAGAATTTAGCATATGAGAGAGAATTTTAGCTGACATATAATATTTTCATTGGTAGGATGTACTAAATCTTTGATGTAACAGTAGTGCCAAAGATTTATTGGTAGTTTTTGTGATATTAAGGTCTCAATTATAGTGGTTTCTTCAAAATTCTTCTATGTCTAATTTTGTTGAAAATTAAATTCAGAATCAATTTTCGTTATTTGGTATTTTTCTTGATTTGTCACCTTTTATTCTTTAGTGAATCATGATCAATTTTAATATAACCATGATCAATTTTCATGATTAATCAGAATCAACTTTTAATATATTTCCATAAATTTTTGTGAATCATGTTTAAAGCATTATATTTTTTACTACAATTGTAATAATCTTCTCCAAATAAAAAATAGTAATAATCAGAGTCATTATTTGTGTATTTAAATATTTTTAATAAATTAGTAATTCTTTTATTTTATTTTTTGGACTTTACTTCTCATGCTAACATGTATCATATTCCTCCTATAGACTTTTAATGTAATCACTATCATTATTTTTTTAATTAATTCAACCTTCATTAATCAATTCTTTAACATATATGCTATGGACTGATTGCTAATTTAAATATCAAATAATTTAAAAAGTGGGTCCATTACATCCATGTAATCATTCTTGATTCTACTTATCTCTAATAATTTTAATTTATTAAAATTAAAAGTTCACACAAATTATTAAATGCAAGTGGAATTAATGGTTAATAAGAAAAATAAGAATTTTTTTTGTTTGGTGTGGGGGCACTCCCCCAAAACAAAACAAAGAAATTACATTAAAGAGTGTCTAGCTCTGTGAACTGAGCTAAAATCAGAAAAATACAACCACCTAATATCCGGAGAGGGAACATGAAAAATCATAAAATCTTCTTGATCTAGCTTTAGCATAGGGAATTAGCTAGCCAGTCCGCGCAAATATTTCCTTCCTTATAAGTATGAAGCAACCTAACAGTTCAATCCTTTGAGAGTCATTCCCATATTCGAGTCACTAAATGAGACTCACGGGATTCATCATCAGATTTGGTGAGCAAAGTGATAGCATATGCTGAATCACTCTCCAAAATAATTTTCCTCCAAGCTCCTTCCCAAGCTCTTTCCAACACTTTTAGAATACCCCACAACTCAGCTATAATTGCAGTGCAGTGACCTATCCTATAAGAGAAAGCTTCCAACCATTTACCATAAAAACCTCTAATCAGACCCCCACAAGCAGACATGCCTAGATTACTTTTAGAGGCCTCATCTGTATTGATTTTTATCCACTCATCCTCTGGAGGCACCCTCCTAATTAAATTCTTAAGCAAAGCACTCCTATGAATAGCATTACAATATGTTTCAAAGGATGAAAGAACCTCTCTAGCATTTAAGAAAATCACCTCCAGATTATACCTGCTTTCCATTTTACCCGAGTCATGTATAATCTCGTTTCTCCAAGACCATGCCTTCCAACAGGTCATTCCAAAAATCAGCGCCGAGGGGATTTCAAAACAGTAAGATGACAGCTGCTTCAAGTTTTCTATTAGCCAATCCTGCAAATTCAAAGAAAAAAAAGCTGGAACAGCCAAGTGAGGTGAAAACCAATTCCGAATATTCCTAATACTTGAACACTCCCTCAACAAATGCAAGGTTTTTTCAATTTCTTGGTTACAAACCAAATATGTTGAGCTGCCCAAATTAAACCTATTCAATCTACTCTTGGTTGATAACCTGTCATGTCCCACTTTCCAGAGAAAAAATTTGATTCTCTGAGGGCCAAGCCACTTCCACAATTAAGGTCTCCCACTTTGAACATCATAAGGATCAGAGAAGGCAGAATATAATCCTTTAACTGATAATCTTGAGGAACTAGGAAGACACCAATAAAGTCTATCAGAAAAGGCAGAATATAATCCTTTAACTGGTAAGAATTCTTAATCTTAGCGTAAGTTTCCCTCCCCATTTAAAATTATTTATGAAATCAGAAAACATCGAAACATAGTCTCATATATAATCTTGAAACGTGTTTGTACAAAAAATAATAATATAAAAAACATTTTAACACTGAATAATAAAAAAACACAAAGAAAATATTAATTGAAGTAAAAGGACATAACCAATAATATAAAAAAAAAATTCTATTGATATGCTTATTGACAAACGCATTGCGTCATTTTTATTAAAGGACTCGTGTAAATTGGTAAAAGAGAAATTTCAGAACTATATAAGAAAATGGTAGAAAATAGTGAAAAAAAGGAATATATTGGAAAAATATAATAAAGGGAAAAAAAAGTTGTGGGATAATACAGAAGTTTTTTATTAGTATGCATAGCTTATAGAGCTCAACTCAAGTGGATGACATTGCAGAAACAAACCATCCAAGCCATATGCGACCCATGAGCGAACTTATAATGGTGTGGGACCAAAAGGTATTGGGTGGGACTGAGGTGACAGAAAGAGAAAAAAAGTTGAGGATAGAAAAGAGAGGAGAGAGAAAAGAAAAGAAAAATTAAATAAAACAAGTGTCAATATTTAAGTGGAAGGACCACGGTGGTCCAGAGCATATTAAAAAATTCCTCGACCCATAGACTAAATAGTAAACACGTTGCCATGGATTAAGACATAGAATTATATTGAATTATCTTAATTTTTTTTTAAAAACAATTTATATTTAAAAGTTTATTAAATTTTAAAAAAAAATACATTTATTGAAATATTTATATCATTCAATGTAGAATATTTATCAATAAATCAATTCTTACAATAAATGGAGCAATTGACCAATCCACCATTAATTTAAAAATTATTTATCAATTTATAAAACTATTTATTAATTTATCTCATTTTTTAAACTATTGAGCAATTTGTTCTATTTTATCAAAGTTCATCAGGCGAGTCTTTTACTTATTAAAATTGACCAAAGTCATCTAATAAAGACGCACCACATGTAAAATTCGAGTAAAATAAAAATCATTGGTCATCTCACTTATTTACACTTTATTTAGCTCATTGTCAATTAGTATACTGAGAAAACCCGATTGTAGCCAAGCTTAGGAGCCAATGGATTGATCATGGGGTTTTCTAACCCACCAGGTGCAGAAGGGTACACGAATTTCCAACCCAGGTAAAGCTTGGATTGATCATGGTTAAGATAAGCACCATATAGTTTGACACCACTAGGTAAAAGATTCAACCCCAGCACGCATGGCAATGTTATGAACAATATTACCACCGCTGCTGTCACCCCCTATGAAAACTTTGCTGAAATCACCATGATTCATCAGCCATGGGTCTTTGTTGCTGAAGCTTTCGGTGGCATGTGAGGCAACCCATTGAAGACTGGCCCAACAATCATAATAAGCTGTTGGGAGAAAATGCTGTGGAGCTTTCCTGTCCTCAATGGAAACAATCAAAACATTACCTTGAGAGGTGAGCTGAAAAGTTAGATTCACAACAGAATGCACCACCGTGAAAGTAAAACAAGATGGAGTCTTTTTTTTTTTTTTATAACCTCTTAACCTCGTCCAATCACTTTATTCTCGAAGTACAGCCCGAAGGCTGCCTTTCATTGGAATAGCAGGTGCATTGAGCTTCGCTACTGGAGGAAGGATGAGACTAATTCCCTCTTCAAGGAGAGAGGCACATCCTCTGGCCCCCAAAGACTTTTCAAGAATTTGCTTGAGACAGAGATACAGAGTCTAAACCCCTTATTCAAGCAAACTCTTGGAAGTTCAGTAGTCAATTGAGCTACCCTTGGAGGTTGAGATGGAGAGTTTTTGGTTGTGATTGGGTTGTGTTAGCTTTGGAAGGAAAAATCGAGAAGAGAGGTGAAGGTCATCTGAGAAGACAACATCTTTGGATGAGACACTAGTTGCATGTAGAGATGTGCAAAATAATCAAAAAAACTGAACCGAACTGAACTCCACTTAAAATAATCAATTTTTAAAAATCAGTTCATGATCCGAACTGGTTTTTAAAACCAGTTCAAGAAATGAACCATTTTCGAATTGAACCGAACCAAACCACTTTCGAACTGAATCGATCTACCCAAATCGGTTCTGAATCGAACTGAACTATTCTAACCGAACTGAATCATTTTCGAACCGAACCGAATCGTTTTCAAACTGAACCGTTTAAACCAATTCAATTCGATTTTTCAAAAAATTCAGTTCAATTCAACCCATGTGCACAGCTGGTTGCAAGGACTTCGAGTGAGGATGGAATTCATGGGTAGTCTCTTAGGCGTTCAATGGTGCCATCACTCTAAACGTATATATAAGAGGGAATATATGATACTATCTCCTTATTGGTGTAAGGAGATTTGGGACCTGCAGCGGAATCATTTCATGCATAAAAGTTACAAGGGCTGCGTGCAAATTATCTGCTGTTTGTATATATATACAGACTCACGTTTAGTTCCTCTTTGTTTCACCAGCTTATGTCGGTTTGAAGAAAAAAGGGCTTCCCTCACATCTTTCCAAAAGTGACAGGTTTCAGATTGAACATTAAAATATAGAAAAAACTTCAAAAATAAACTATAATTTTCTTGAGAATCACTCATCATCTCCCCCTGAAATTTTGAATTATTTATATCTTTAATTTAAAATTTCTTTATCACTTAAGTAAGTGATAAAAAAACCAAATCACTTATCCTCTCTCCGATATTTTGAATTATTTACATCTTTAATTTAAATTTCTTTATCACTTAGGGTAAGTGACAAAAAAAATTTAAGTAAAAGGAGTAAATAATAAAAAACACTTTAAATAAGAGTATAAATAATTCCAAAAAACACTTATAAGAATTTTTTTTAAAGTTTTTCCTAAATTATAAAATTAAATTTCCTAGTGCAGTGCGTTACAGAAAAATTGTTTTGTATTAAAAATTGGAGTAGAATATACTTACTACAAAAAAAGTTTACCACACTTACAATCAATTTAATCACCGGTGATCTCCGTCAATCTAACGGTTATAATCTATTGGAAATTAATAATTAATTAATAAATGTGACACAATAAATGTTATTAATTTCCAATAGATTAAAACCGTTAGATTGACGAAAATTAACGATAATTAAATTGGTTGTAAGAGTGATAAAAAATTTTAATGGTAAGTGAATCTGTTCCCTTAAAAATTTATTAAAAAGATTGGTATTTTTAAATTTATAAAATTAAGTTCAAAATAATTAATAAGGGAAATACAACAATAATATTACAGGAAAACATAAAAGTTTCCGACAATAACTAAGAGAGAGAAAGTGAATTGACTAAAGAGAAAAATAAATGATGGACTCCAGCAATTTATTGTGTCAGCACAAAACTTGTTTTTCATCCTGTAACATTACATACATAAAACCCATTTAATAATTGACGTAACTCTGACAACTATCATTAATATTTGTTTAAAAAAAATTTTAAAAAATTAATGTCCAATAAATAAATGAGTAAACACCCTTTTTAGTCTACGAAGTCCTTTTTAGTCCCTGGCAATAAAAAAGGATCAAATTGGTCCCTGAAATTACAAAAAAAGGGTCATGTTAGTCCTTATGTCAACTCCCAAATATGTAGAGTGACCCTTTTCTTGTACTTTCAGGGACCAATTTGGTCCTTTTTTATTGTCAGGACTGAAAAGGACTTCGTAGATATTGTCAGGGACTAAAAATGGTGTTTACTCTAAATAAATAGATGACGTTCTAGGAGAATGAATAGTTATTTTTTCCAAAATAACATGTTTAAAATTTAATTAAAGTGAATAGTGATGAGAGCTTTTTAAAAATCATGTAATCCGAACATGTAGTTGGATTAATTAATTGGAATAGATATACAAAATCTGCACTTTTACATTTCTAAGAAACCCTTTGTAAACTAGAAGGAGGACGACAATTGATTGAGGTTATTTTCACTGGTGAAGAAAATCAGCCACGACTTTTATCAATCTTTTGGCTTGCTCAGTTTCCGGATCGAACATATAATAAACATGCTCCTCTTCTTCCTGTTCAAAGAGTTGCACTTCCCCTTCCCACTCACTCTCCTTCACAGCTTCACAATACAATACTGTTCTGTCTCGAAAGGGATCCTTACCAGCAAAAGTAACTAGCATTTTAGAACACCCAAGTGTAGCCAAGCTGGGTGCCCCAGGAGCCAATGGATTGATCATGGGGTTATCTATCCCACCAGGCGCATCAGGGTACGCGAATTTCCAACCCAGAGACGCCAAGGACTCCTCCAACCCTGTAACAGATTCAGACCCAATTGGTTTTGAACCCCAAAAGTAAGGATGGTTAAGATAAGCACCATATAGTTTGACACCACCAGGTAAAGTTTCAACCCCAGCACGCATGGCAATGTTATGAACATTATTACCACCGCTGCTGTCACCCCCTATGAAAATCTTGTTGAAATTACCATGATTTATGAGCCATGGTTCTCTGTTTGTAATGGTGGGGTTTTCGGTGGCATGAGAGGCAACCCAATAGAGACCAGCCCAACAGTCATCATAACCTGTTGGGAGAAAATGCTGTGGAGCCTTCCTGTACTCAATGGAAACAATCAAAACATTACCTTGAGAAGCTATGATGTTGCAGTATTTGTGGTGGTGCGCTGCAAAGGCTGATTCACAGCAAAATGCACCGCCATGAAAGTAGACTAAGATGGAGAGTTTTTGGTTGTGATTGGATTGTGTTAGTTTTGGAAGGAAAAGTCGAGCAGAGAGGTGAGGGTCGTTTGAGAAGACAACATCTTTAGACGAGACACCAGTTGCAGGGTCTTTCGGTGAGGGTGGAATTCTTGGGTAGTCTCTGGGGCGTTCAACGGAGCCATCGCTGTATACATATATGAAGGAGGGAACCTGTGAGACTATCTCCTTCTTCTTGATGTTAAGGGATGTAATGCCTTCAGTGGAAGCCATTTCACATTTGCAATTGCAAAATATGTAGTCCAAGGATTCAATTTTCTATTTTATATATAGGAAAAAAGAGATTTTTAACACTAACTACAATGAATAATATATATTATAGGAAAAATGATTTATCTTTTTAAATGACACAATTTATGTCATTTTACTATCATAAGGAGGTGGGACTCACACATTTATATTTTTTTGTTCACTCTCTCCTTCTTTATCTATCTCCTTCTTTCACACTTAAAATGACACAACTTTACATCTTTTAAATGATATACATTTTTTCCTATATTGTATGGCTTTAATATTTGTAGATAATACTTACTCTCAAAACGATGTCATTTTTTGTTGAAATATTAAAAAATTAAATGAGAAAGATTATTATAACCCTAAAATAAGATAATTATCTTGATTTCCGCCTCATTTCATCCCTACAAGGTGGGTAATATTTTCCTTTCTTATTATGACAAAAGGTATAATTTATGTTATAAAAAAAAAAAAGGTATAATTTATTACTGAATTGGCAAATAATAATAAAAAAGTTTTAAACAAAAATGTAAAGCATTTAAAGTATTGAATACTCTTTTATAAATGTCTTTAAGACAATCAATTGAAAAATCTAATAATATTTTCTAACCAAATACATCCTTGGATAAGCTTAGAATATTTGAGGAAATATAGTATTTACTCATTTTCATTTTTTCTTTTGTAGACATAAGTGGTTCGCGCCCAAGAAAACAAATATAAACTAAGAAATATACAATTTATTTACACGTTATTTTAATAGTAAATTTTATTTAAGTAATTTTTTTTTTTGAGATATTCTAATTGGTTCATTACTTCGCAACTAGTCCGATTTGAGGTGAGTCCCGAGATTAAAGTTTTAAACTACTCTCGGTACTAAGAAAGGGTAATACTTTTCTCATTTAACATGAAAGAAATTTTTTTCCTACACTAACAATAAATGTGAAGCCTGCAAGTTAAAGAACAAAAAAAATTGCATGCACGTTTTTTATGTCTTTGTCATATGATATAGTTATTTCCTATGATCGGAGAAAACAATTTCCAAAAAAAAATTCTTGAGTTGTGTGTATTCTTTTACAGCTTTTATTGTCAAATGATCTTATATTTTCTAATAAAATTTAGGAAATATGATATTTACACATTGCTTAATAATCAATTTTATCTACATATTGTGGTTGGTTGTAGGTGAGGAGCAAAACTTAAAAATGAAAAGAAAATACCAAAAGTAGGTTCATGAGATTTCAATTTAAATTATAAATAATTTAACTTGCAAGTTAAAGTCTCCTAATTGCCTAAATAGTTAATGTATTGAATACGCAACCTCCTTTTTTGATTGCAGATAACTATTAAGCTGACTTGTTGAGAGAATTTAGAATTTTAAAGCATAATTATTTTAGTTAAAATTATTATTACTTATTTAATATTTGAATTAAAAAAAAACATTTTCTTCCACCATAATTTGTATTATGTAATTATTTCTCTCACCATAGAATACAATAATTTTAACTAAAATAATATAATTCTATATCATTTAAAATTATAAACATTAATCTTGTTAAACAATTGGTATGAAGATTTTTTTTTTATTCTTGTGATCTCCTGGTTTAAAGTAAACTAATTAAATAATTGATGGACCGGTAAAAAAAATTTAATACATATATAAAGGTTTGCAAAGAAAGAAAAAATATGTTATCAAAAAAAAAAAAATATTAATAAAATATTATTTTAAGAATATAAATAATTGAAATATTTAAAAAGTAAATAAATCAATGTGCCGTTTCCACAAGTCAAGCTGCGAGGTAAAGTTTTTTTATTTTTACTTTTTGAAAAGAGGATGGTCTTTGGATAAGACACCAATTTCTGGGTCTTCCGGGATACTGGCTAGTTTAAGGGACGTTCTATGGAAAGTCCCTCTTTGTTTCAACCATTAACGTCAGCTTGAAGAAAAACTCAAATCTTTCCAAAACTGACTTCGTAAGGTTTCACTTTAAACATTCAATTATAACAAGTGGTCTTCCTGGCGGTTACTCAAAATTTTGTTTCGTATTAATATTTTATTAAAATGATTGGCATTTTCAAATTTTTAAAATCAAATTTAAAATAAGGGCAGGATCCTTTGACACCGGTGTCAAATTTTGAAATTTGACACCAAATCCCAACCGTTGATTTCCTCCAATCAACGGTTATCATTTATTGGAATTAATAATTAATTAATAAGTGTAATTCCCAATAAATGATAACCGTTGATTGGCGGAAATCAACGGTTGAGATTTGGTATCAAATTTCAAAATTTGACACCGGTGTCAAATGATCCTATCCCTTTAAAATATTTGAATAGATGTCACTTTGACAACTATCATTAATATTTATTTAAAATATTGAAAAAATATTTAATGTATACATGTTCAATAAATATATGGATGCCGTGATAGAAAAAAGAATTGTTCTATAAAAAAAAAAGGATTGTGATTTTCTTAAATAATATATCAGAATATTAGTATTTTTAGATTTATAAAATCAAATTTAAAATTTTTAAATTGATGATAATCTGACAACTATCACTAAAATTTATATAAGGTATTTAACTTATGCATTCAATGTTCAATAAATAAGTTGATGCCATCATAGAAAAATGAGTTATTATTTTTTACGAAATAACACCATAAAAATGAAAAGTGATAAAAACTTTTTAAAATTTTGTAATCCGTCCGAACATGTAGTATTTCGATTAATTAATGGAAATAAATATACAAAATTTGCACTTTTGCATTACTTAATTTTAGTTTTGGAGATGTCAAGTTAAAGAATTTTTATTTTTATTTAATTAATTATTGACTTCAATTTTTTCATTATAAGAAAGAAATAAAAATTTATAACCAAAAATTATTGATATGAGTCATCACTTAAAATAATTATATATATGAGATGTATTATAATATAATTATTTAGGAAATGGCATTTACATAATATTTTAATAAGAAATACTTAAAATACAGACTACAATTTCCCAATTATTTAAATGGTTCCTATAAATACAAATATTCCAAAAAATACAAATATTTTTTTGGAATGGGTTATTCACTTATTCTACCTTACGGATATATATTTTTTTCATGCTTACCCTTACCTTCCACTCTCTAACACTATTAGATCAGAAAATCAACTAACATTCATTGTTAGGTGTCAAATATGATATGTCTTCACGACCAAAAGTATGATATATCATGTTGTGAATGCTCAAGAACATAACATATATCGTCAAATGCAAAAGACTTTTGAGTTTTATGATTGGCTATGATATTGATTGAAAAATGTATTGTTTTTAGGTTTAAATTGCTAAATTAGAGTATTGATGGATCGAGGAGGCTTGATGAAGCTAAGACGTAAGCAAAGTGAAAATCAAAGGAGTATCTTCATGTTTAAGCTCACTAAGTTGCTTGCCCAAGCGAGCAACCTGCTAGTGAGCAATACTCTATAAACGTTGAATTTTAGCCTACTCCTCGCTAACGAAGCGAGCAATCGTATATCCTTGCTGGTTTGCTCACTTCAGCGAACGGCTCGTTAATGAAGGCCCATGGATCTTCTGTTATAAAAGACACACTTTAGGGTTTTCTAATCACTTTATGAATGACTGGGGCAAATCGGGAGGCAGGGGAGCTCTAATATGGACCTGAGAAGATGGAGGATCAGTCGATTCTTCAACGTGGAAATCGTCTTTCAAGTTATTTTTATGATTTCGCTTTTCTTTTATCTCTTGTTTTAGTTTTCCTAACTATGTTAGGCTAAGTTTTCTTGTAGTTAGGGTTAGATTGAACCTTTTGAATCTTGAATATATTTACTCTTTCCTTTCAATTTAATATTCAATCTTTCATGTTATGCAATTATTTTGTGTTTCATTCTTAATTCTTTTGTGAACTAATCATTCATAGAAGGATAATTGAGTTATGCATGGCAATAAAGATGTTGGTGTATAATTCTGATCTGAATAATTGCTAGGTTTTATTTGATCTAGGTATAGACTAATGGAAGCTATGACTTTGTAATTCATCGTTCTTAACGCTTGCCCTAGAGAAGATCACTAAGGGATATGATTCTTAATAGGTCAAAGAATTGAAATACGAAGGGATTGGGTTTTGCTTAATTTAGAGATGAATTGTCAATAACATGAGTTTGAATGTTAATTGAAGGAAATGGTAGATTAATTAGGAGAAAATTGGGGAAGTCGAAACCTTAGTTATGCTTTTCCATATTTTAGTTTTATTGCGAGTTCTTGGTTCTTATTCTTGTTAGTTAATTGTTAGTTTTAGAATTAGTTTTTTAATATCTGAAATCATATTCTCAACAACCTTTACGGTAGATCCAAGTTTGATAGCGTAGTGAACTTATTGCTTGATAGGTTAATCCTCGTGGAAACGGTATCCTACTCATTTCTTTATTACTTGTACGACCAATATATTTATCGTGATCGTAACATTTATCATTTCTCTCTCCTCTTGAGATTATGATCTAATAGTGTTGGAGAGTTATAGGTAAAGTAGATATGAAAAAAAGATAGGTAGAATAACGTATCCTATGTATTTTTTTTTTCAAACAAGGGTAAAATGTTTCGCTTGCAATAATCGATAAAGTTATATCTTATAACCTTAAAACGATATCATTTTGGATTTACGAAAAAAATGCAGGATATTTTAAAAAGATTAATTTCCTCTGGTATCATGAATTTTACTAAAATATTCTATAATATTGTATAAAAAAATACTCATCAATGCTTTTCTCAAATCTCAAGCGACATCGTTTTGGATAGGGATGTAAATGGGTCGAGCGGCTTTTCAGGGGCCAAGCCTAATTTAAAAAATAGAACAGACTCAAGTATTTAAAAAAGCTTGTTTAGCAAACAAGCTCAAGCCTAATTTAATGAGACTTGGCTTGAAAGCCCGTGAACTGGTCTGATATATTATTATAATATATAAGAGGCAGGATTC